TTAGGTGATTATCACGATCTGTACATCAAAACAGACACTTTGCTTTTATCGGACGTTTTTCAAAATTTTAGAAATATATGCTGTGATAATTATAGCCTCGATCCTTCAAATTACTGTACGTCTCCCAGACTTTTTTGGGGACGCGTTGTTAAAACAAAGTCAAGTTCGGACATTGACAAGTATTTGTACTTTGAAAGAGCTAAGCGAGGAGGCATCTCGAGCGTCTGTGGTAAAAGATATGCTTAAGCCAATAACCCCGGTCTCGAAGACTATGATTCAAACAAACCAACATCTTATATACTTTACCACGATACAAATAATCTTTACGGATTGACCATGCGTCAGTATTTCCCATTTTCAAACTTTCGATGGGTTGAAATCCACAAGGATTCACCATGGAATATATTCTCAATTTAGATACCGTGGATAACCATGAATTTATGCTCCAGGTCGATCGCAACGTTCCGCTTGAGTTACACGATCTTCTAAACGAATTTCCTTTATCTTCGGTAAACATAACAATCAAACTCGATCGTTTCATCGCGCAACAAAATATTAATGCTCGACAGCAAAGCCATAAAGGTTGAAAAGGTCATTGCTACATTGCCGCCTAAAAAGGAATACGTTGTGATGCAATTTAGAAAACGGCCTTGATTACGTAGTTACATCAAAAAGATTACAGACCTTCGTAAACAGGCAAAATACCGTATCGATCAAGACTTTTTTAAACTCGCTAATAACGCGGTGTATGGTAATATAGTGGAAAATGTTCGCAAACGTTGTAACTTTGCAAACGTTGTAATTTAGCTGTAAATAAAAGTCAATAAAAAATAATGTTGTTGAAATATGTTCAGGTAGTTATGGAGCTAGTTATAGTACTTAATTTGATGTATCATACCTACGATTACTGTTGCTTGAAATAAAGTTTAAACAAAATGACGCAAAAAGGGAACAACAAAACGAGGGTCTCAAAACGATACTTGCGCAGCCAACACCAACCCAGGCATCAAACGCGAACCAAGTTGACTTCAAATCTCGACTTTGTTCAATTGTAGCCTCGGGAGATTTTAAAAAGTATTTAGGCAAGGATTTCACCGAATACGAGACTAAAGCAACTTCTCTCACCACCCTAACTTCTCAGTAAGGGTAGGCTACGAGACTGCTTGGCCAACTCGATCCTCTCCTTTTCCCCCTTTCATTTTGAACTATTTTTATATTACCATTTAACCTGGGACGCGTTCCCAATTTAAACTCACACGGTCCCGTGGGCGGACTATTCCGTTGAGTCCGTTTCATTTTTCAGGTTTGCAGAGCCCTGAGTCCGTCCTGAAGGTATATTAATGTTTTAGTGGTTGTCCTCTAGCCTCTACAGATCTTACAAACCACCAAAACCCACCAAAAGTACACCACAGTACTGTGGGGGGCCGTTTTCCCAGGCTCTCTGGATTTGAAGGGGGGGCCCTCGCCACGCGCCAGCCAAGCCATACCACCATCACAACACCCCCCCAACAAAAATAACACTTCAAAGACAGCCGACAGAGGCCTCTGACAAGTTCCAAACGGCTGTCATTGATAGAGAACATTCCACTGCCTGCCCCAGGCACCGTTTTGTAAACAACCCATTAGGTTGTGCACAAGGGACCACTTAGCACACAGTCTATGGGAATTGCCTGGAGGCTGGCTTAAGGCCGTCTGGATTTTTTGCATTTTTTTTTCTGGCCATGGCAGGCCCTGGCAGTAAAATAACTAAGCCAGGTTTTTCAGCATATTCAGGGGTAGGATATGATAAGTAGTCGTGGAATTTGGACTTTTAAAAAATGGAAATGTTAATTAGCTCCAATGGACTCGCCAGGAGAGGCCGCTCCCTCTACCGAGGGTTTTAAGAAGAGTCCATGTTTTTTATCATTAAACTCTTCTTTAGAATTTTCTTTTTCATGAGAGGAAAACGTTTAACAAGTTCGATGATCGGAAACAGAAACAGAAATGGTGAACTGGTTGACATTCGAAAAGTGATCTGTTAAATGAATGAAAAATTTTGTTTTTGATTATGGGATAAAGGGTTGTTTCGTTTAATGACGTCATATCTTTTCGTTATAAAGAGCTATGGCTATTCATAAGCACTGCAGACAAAAAATTCCTCGCTAGCTGAAACATCACTGTAAAGAGTACGAGCCTGATTGTTACTATTCAACTTTTTTCTTTTTTATTATTGAATGTTGTTTATTGTTGATTTATCTTTTTTTAATCTGGATATCTATTAACCCAGTATTTCCTTTCTGAACATGATAATTGTCTTTTCTGTTACAAACAGATTACTCCTAAAAAATAAACTGATGGCAAAGAACAAAGGTTCAACTTCTTAATCATTACATTTTCAATTCCCTTTAAACTGAATAGCCTAGAGTTTCGCCCGAAGGAATTTAGTTATAAACCCAAATGACTGGTGGGGTACAAAAGCCATAATTCGTCAACACCGATCCGTAGGCCTATACACAAAAATCTTGTAGATTTCACAAAGTATCCATAACTTTACTGATGTGGTTGCAAATTCCAGAAAATGATAATAAGCAATATACATGTTTAAAAGAGTATTCAGGTAGATTTACGGCTAAAGCCAAGAAATCCTTTTGTTTATTCCCACCAATGTCAAATTGATTCTTGGTTGATGCAGTCAAGATATTTTGTATTCACTTACAAAAACCACGTATGTCGTCTAAACAAGCACTTGGCTGTAACGAATGGAAATTTCAATTTCTTTTTCTGCAACGCAGTTTGCATTTTTTAAAAATATTCTAACGTAAATTATGAACTTTTTTTATTATCTCTGGTCTTTTTCTCAGATGTTTCAATGAATCGCTTCATACTTTTAAATTTAATTAATAAACATCAAGAACAAATAGCGAAATGACATTTCTCGGACACTCCTTATATAGAGCTGACAAAACCATCTTGTCAAGAGAGGAAACACAGAAATATTTCAATTACAAAACAATTAAATCAGCATCTTAAATGTAACATAAATTTAAGGATGGTTATCGCATAATCTTTTAACACAGTGCAAAACTTGTGAGGTTAAGCCCTGGACTTCATTCTTTGGCGGTCCCATGTATTTAAGCCACAGTTTGTTTATGTGTCAAGTTTTGAGCAGGTTTTCTTTTTCTTTTTTTGTGGTTCTCTTTTCTTGACTCTGGTTGTTTACAGAGATATTTATTTGCAATGTGCAAATAGTTTGTTTATTAAACATGATCTGTATCAATACATGTATCACTTTCGTTGGGTAGGCTGGGGAGGAAGTTTCCGAGTTGTTTGGGTTTCGTTTTCTATGTTGTTTTGTTGGCTGTGTTGCTTTGCTTGTAGCGATGCTTGCTGAGATAACTTTTTTAGTTTCGATCTGTGTTTGTGTTTTCTCTGTTTTATTTTCTTCCTTGGTATTTTTCTGTTTTAATCGCTGTTTTATGATAAGTGTTTTTGCATTATGTCAAATAACGTTGTTCTGTTAAGCTTTAGATTTATATTTCGAATAAATGCGTCAGAAAATGAAAAAATTAAATACTATGCAGCATTGCGTCAATAATAGTTATCGACATGGAAAATTCCATTTAATTAAAAAACCACTTCTTAAATGGTCCAAGCAAGCGTTTTAGTTTCTTCTGTTTGGACCAGTTTTGGTGTTTAGATTATTTTTATTTATCAAGTGTGAGTTTTTGTATAATTTATAAAAAAAATTATATTAATCTTTGTTTATGTATACATAATTTTAACATAATCAGGGCCTTATGAAAGACCACCATATAGTGAACAAGTTTTACCCTGGATAGATATTAGGAAAAAAAATAAATAAATGAGATCTTGAATTCTTTTGTTTGCTATGCTGTGCTGGCGAGGGTGATTTTTTATTATATTGTCTTGGTTTGTTCAGTTATGTTTAATCATAATACGACTGATTTATGAAACCGTGGTCGCAAAGCCATGTCACCTCAGATCACCTTAAGTTAGTAAGAATCTCAGAAGACATTATGTTTTGATCACAAAATGGACCAGACATGCTGAATATAACAACTTCGTTTCTTTTCGCCTAATTATAGTATGGGTCTAGGGGTTCCCAGGTGAGATTATTAGTTTTGATATGAATATGAACTCAATGGACCTTTTCACTAATAAATTCGTAACTATGCACGCATGCGCACAAATGGCCTTGGCGGCAAGAAGTGTGAGCGGCCATTAAAAAGGTACAGGGGCGCAACTTTGGTGATCATTTTCTCTCAGGTTTTCTGGCTTTGTTCATTTTTTTTCTTCAGCTATTTCCTTTTGCTATTAGTTTCTAACCTAAGCAGGATTTTTAGTGCTCTGTAGAAAGACTTTATAATCGTGATTTTTTTCTGTGCGCACGAGATCGCCGTTTCTTGGTATGGCCCCCTTCCATCATAAATTGTATAAATCACATCGTTAGCGTTCTTGCAGCCAACCTGTGCATTTGTAAACACGTACTGATGTTCTATGTACATGTACTGTAGGTACATAGCTTACCATTGAACCTGGTCATATAGCTTGGAGTACTACCGAAAGAAATGGTATCCGGTTGTTGCGTTTGGGGTTGTACGACAAAACAAAGTGCAGATTCCAAAGAGAACTTGAGGGATATGGTTCTTCAGGCTACCCGAGTGGAAAAAAGTAGCGAATCAAATGGGTACAGAACATGTACATTTCAACATTATAGCGTGTTTACAAATGCACAGGTTGGCTCCAAGAACACTGACGATGCAATTTATACTACGTGTACTTATCATTGAAGGGGGCCATATTAAGAAACGGCGATCTCGTGTGCACAGGAAAAATCACGATTATAAAGTATTTTTGCAGCGCACTAAAAATGCTGCTTAGGTTAGAAATTAATAGCAAAAAGAAAAATAGCTAAAGAAAAAACCAACAAAGCCAAAAACCTGAGAGAAAATAATCATCGAAGCCGCGTCCCTGTACCTTTTCAATTGCCCGCTCACATTTCTTGCCGCCAAGTCCGTTTGTGCGCATGCGCGCATAATTATAAGTTTATTAGTGAAAAGGTCTGTGCTGGGGTATGAACAACCTTGCGGACGGCCGGGTGTGCCGACTTAATTCGTTATCTCAAAGCCATGCCCTTTCGGCCGGAAGTCGTTTACATTGTATTACATTTTGGCGGGACTTGAGAAGTTTCTGGACTTTTCTCAGTGACAATTCCCACGCTTGAGACCTGCACCTTGGTGGGCTGAAGATCACAGCAAGAAGGCCCCTTGTGGATAACTTAAGCCCTTTTCCCGTCGGCTTTAGTTAGTGTTCATACCTATTTGGACAAACTTTTAGATGTCAGGGTAAGAGCACTTATGATTATACAGAGACATTTCTAAGTATGAATTTATTATGGACATACCGAATGTAATGTTTGTTGTGACGTACATGTAAACCATCACTCAATAGTATGTCCTCTGTCTCCCTTTAGGGTTTCCCCTTTTGGTTATACAATTTAATTGCTGATTGAAACCTAGGAATGAACCAAAGGAAGTCAAGGCACAGTCGCCTTGAGTCCAGTTTTTGTCTGGTTTTGCGCCTCCTATCCTCCTTAATTGGCGGACGAATCTCCACCCTTCTGACAACTGCAGAAGAACCGGACCGCTACATTAATATTCAGTGATTGCATTAATTGCACAAAATCTACATTAAAATTTGTTTGCGAAGTTTTGATTTAATAAAATTTTGCCTGATTTAGGCCTATTTGGCAGTGGTCAACAGTGTGCCGTGACCTTGCCAACTACGATTGACGTCATGTTATCTTGCGTTTCTCAAATCCCTGCCCACGTTTGGTCGTGCCACCTGCGTTTTTCCTTTCGTCAGTACTTTTGACATCCTGCAAGTGCGGCAGTTTCAGTGACGACATCTTCCTCGTCAGGAAGTTCGTAAATGGTGCTCATCACGTTTATCAAACGCTTCGACCCAGCCTTCCTCTCGTAACGGCCCACAGTGTCGGTAGGATTTCCCCGTGAACTTCGACTCCCATCGATGCCGTCACTAGGCCTCAGATATTTTTCGAGTCGGTCCTGTCTCGCTCTCAGGAGTTCCAGCTCTTGGAAAATCGGACTCATCATCTTGAATTCGAAAGGTGCGTCCTGCTGAGCGAGGAACTCTTTTATTTTCTGATAGAGATTTGTCGACAATGAAGACACGGCCTCTGCTTTAGTTTGGTGTAATGTGGTCAGAGGAACGGGACCCCTGCAGATGCGGCTGAACATCCGCACTGCCTTCTCGATTGGAGCATAGGGACAGTACCTCAGGGCTGATATTTTCAGGAGCTCCCGCATAGCACCCACGCTTTGGAACTGGTTGGTGATCCTCGGCAGGTTCTCAGCTATCATCACCTCTTTGCGATAGTCACTTTTCCTGAGGTATTCTTCTGTTTCCTCCTCCTCTTCGTCTTCGTCGTCGTGACAGATGAAGGCCCACTCTCCTAGAGATGCCAACTCCCACTGTTCTTCCTGCATTTGGTCCATTTGGGCTTCCTCCTCGTCCGCTGCAGCTTCTGTGACCACTTGCAGGGATGATTCATTTTTGTCAGTCGAGTCTTTATCATCTGTGTCGGGGGTGCATTTCATTCGTGTGCTTCCAGTCTGTAACATTAAGTCTGTATAGCCATATTTTTGTTTGTATTTGTCTTTCAGTTCGGACAATATCTCACTTTCAGTACTTTCCACAAAAGATATGAGAACTTCTTTCTCCGCTTTGACAGTTGATGGAATGACCTCTTTCGATGTTTGCAGTGCACCGTTTCCATTTCTTTTTTGATGGGTACTTCCTTTTGTTAAAGTATGCGTATTTGATGCAGCGTCACCCTTCTTGTCGGTACAATCAGCATTTAAAACAAGCAACTTGTCGGAATGACTTTTCGCCGCGGTCTGTTTGGTTTCATCTTCTTCAAGTAACGTTGCCAGGCGAGGCTCACATGCGACTCTGTGGACTTTTCTTGAGATCACTGTCGATCGTTTCTGGCGCGTATTTCTACGATTGTACCGATCAAAATCAGTTCTGCAGAATTCCTCGAACTTTGCCTTTGCTTGCGCTAGTCGGACGTCATCGCTACTAGAGCCAGCTCTTTGTTGTTTCTCGCCTACACTACCTAACTTATTCCATTTCTCCATCTCGCTGATGTCAATCCTCAGCCAAGTAGCTCTTGCCGCCGCAATTCGACGTAAAATGCTGATGTTTCCTTCACTGTTTCTTCTCCTCCATGTCCCCACAGGAAGTTTAGTGCATCTCGCAATATTCCTCAACTCCGGTGTGGATTCGGGTCTCCATTTGGAAAAATAAGCAGAAAAGTTCAATCGTGCATCCTGATGCTCTTGAAGTGATGAGCATGCACCCCTGGACAGGTCACAAATTCCAGATTTCCATGGCACATTGGTGGAACTTTCCGATCTGCCTACATGCCTTCTTCTTTCACCTCTGCTGTTCTCGTTAGCTACCTCAGTCAGGGAATCCTTGCTCATTTGCAGGTTTGGTTTGGGCCGCCCAGTGTAGAGTTCGTCCTCCCCTGATAGTCTGTAATTTGATTCAGGTTGAGCTGGTGTCGTAATTCTGGTCTCTACTTCTTTCTCCCTCGCTTCTTGAGAAGGCTTTGTTATGCGCTTATCATGAATGGATGAAGTGCGCTCCTTTAAGCAGTGGTCTAAGTATACCGAGAGATAACTTCCTTTTTTCCTCACCATTCTGTCGTTGCCCTTTTCGGTAAAACATTTGGTAAATTCAGTTGACTTCTGGATGTTGCCAGTGATATCGATGATTTCTTTAATGTCACTGGACTTTCTGCCTTTGTGAGCAGAGCTTCCCCAAAGTGTAGGGTTCACTGTGATTCTCTGTTCTGATTGTGCTATCTTGACCGTTGTTGGCTCGGTGACTCCAATACGGGGTAATATTGGGCATTTTTCTGTCCACACCTTTCCATCAGCTTTGCTGTGCTCATCATTTAGAGAGTGATGCCTACCCTTCCTAATTTCACCAACTGATGAGGGTCTCGTGTGGAAACTCCCAAAGCGTTTGTCGGCATGGCTTAATGAAGTCGTGCTTCGGAGTTCTTGCTTCTTGGATGAACACAAGACTGGTATCATGCTCGGCGCTGTGGCGTGCTTCAGAGTCCTCGGTCCAAGCTCTCTTCTCTTCCAGGACTTTAACACTGGAATTCTGCTGATAGCTTTGGGACGTCTCAAATATACTTTGTCGTTACTGTCACAGAGTCTGCCTTGGTCGTTTGGTGGGGATGTTGTATATTCAGACATGCTCTCAGTAGCATCCCCCATTTGTTGCCACTCCCCTGCAATCCTGCTCATGGCTCCTTTCATTTGAGTTGCCTTTTCTCTTGGATCCATGGTGTACTCGGATCCTCCATGAGAACCTCTCTGTCGTGACGTTCTGCTCCGAACTGAAGAGAGAGATTGGTCTCGACGTGGATTTGTATCCCAGTCCAAGTCGAACGACTTGGGGTCATTGTTGGCTCTGATGCATACTTCCGGGAAAGTCGGTTCAGGAGCAACCTTTGTCGTACGCCGGCTGCCTTTCCGGAGAGCCAACCTCGGCAAGCGGAAGTTTAAAGAGGGTGCAACTTCTGCTTTGCCAGCATCCTTGCTGGGTTGAATCAGCCTGCTAAATCTCAACAACGGTTTCTGCTTGAAGGAACAAGAGCAAATGAATCACCTTACTAAATATTGGAGTGATCCTAAGGAAGGAAATGTCTTTGATGGAAAATATTTCACAAGCACGTGCTACTGAGAAATAACTGCATTAAAAACAGTAAAACTGAGAAGATGGATAGTAGATAGTTTGAAAACAATGGTTGGAATGCACAGGGCCTCGTACCTTGCTCGTTTGTTGAGCTAGCAGGGTGTTTCTTTGGCAGTCTTTGACAGCTCTGCCGGTGTTCGGTCTTGCGTCGATCGATATCACTTGACTCGGTAGTTCCTGTTTACTCTGTTGTTGTAAAGATAACAAGGGAATAAAGTGACATCTTAGACAAGATATAAATTGATATTCAGCTACATAATGGCAAGCAGGCTTGTTGATTTTACCTCCAATCTTTTCATTGGTTCGTAGTTATCTCAGACAGCATTTTCTCAAATCGAAACAAGTGCATATTTTTTGTAATAAGGACGTTTGGGATTGAAATGATCATGGCTTCTTTGTCTGCCCCAGTACCATTCTGTATGAATGTTAGGAGACTCCGAGTTGGTCAGGTTTTGATCGAAAAATTGAATTTGTGTGTGTGTGTGTGTGTGTGTGTGTGGTCACGGACCTGTCAGAATCGACTGGTTTGACAAAATTTCTTTAAATCCAAAAAGAGGACAATAAACGGTCCAGACCCCTGCATTTTGCCAGCTTACCAAGTGGGGTAAGTTGAAATCACCGTGATTAATACCGGGGCGTAAATGGGTCTTCCTCTCTTCGGGCCCAGTTGTTGGTCCAGCAGGTGCCTTTATTAGGGGGAAGGCTGGCCGGGGTCCAGGGTCAGGTAGTGGACACTCCGACCGCGGGGAGTTGCGGTGATTTTTGGAGAGCACCTATTATAGATAAAATCACGGACGTAAATTTGTGTTGGGATCTAGGAGTGGGGGATAGTATGGGGGGTTGACTTTTCCGGCCATGGAAATTTTGTGGGGTGGAGGGTGCTGACACCCTTTGACACGAGAGGGCAATGCTCATGATACAAATGTGCATCTGCAATTATGTATTACACTTCTGCGGAGTCTTACAACAAAGCAGCCTATTGATGGCTTTTAAAAAGTTTTTCTTTTTGAGTGCTGTGGAATACATTTTGGTTGTTGAAAAGTCTGAAAAATTCTTCACAAATCTGAGAGGTGTCATCGGACATTAGAAATTTAATTTATATAAATGACTGCGTCACAACAAGAACAGATAAAAAAGGAGACAATGTGTTATGATTTTTCACTTGAATACTCCGACGAAAGGTATTCGTAAATCTGCCACAAGTATTGTTTCACCTACCTGCACCTTCGTAAACGACACACTTGAAGGCGAGACGACGTGGTCTCTCAGCCAATGGCTGATGCGTCGGCCGTAGCCGGGTTTCTGAGATAATTGGACAAAAAATAAGAAGTTCAGAAAATTCCAGCTTTCGCAGCACAGTGGAGCACTATTTTGTGTAAATTCGACTTTTGATACTAAAATAATCCAGTTGGAGTACATACAAACAGAATCATTATTATGAGAAGGGAATCTGGATGGACACTTTTTTAATCAGTAGAGAAAATTAAATACTAGAAATGGTGTATACAGGTTTAGTCCTGGCGAGGGGGGCGGCAAAAAGAACCCCCTCCAAAGGAAAGTGGTACACTGTTTATAAATTTGTTTTCGCTATAAACTTATAAACAGTTGTGACACTGTACAGGAGGGTAAGTCACTAGTGAATTATGCATATATAGATGGGTACAAGTTTAATTCAACGGCGCAATGTTATAAAAAATCTTTACAAGAAAAATGTTATGAAGCCAGGCGTTATTAAGTATGATATACCCAGCAAAAAATGAGACCGAGGGGTACCCCTCCAACATGTCCAATCCCTACACACATTCCAGACTTTTGTTACTTGATTAACACATCCCCCCAAGATATCTGAAAGGAATTCCCCAGATTCCTGCGAGACAATGACCAACACAAAGCAGGGGGGGTTCTCTCCGTCTCATACCTTGCTGCATATGAAGCATGAGGGGGTAGAATATCAGCGGCAGCAGAACGACCTTCAAAGGAGGGGGGCAATTGTTAGACCATCTGGCATCAGCCATTAGTAGGCCGATCCGTTAAGCCCCAGACCCATAGACCCATTGCAGGCCCTGCAAGAAGTGGGTGGGCGGTATGCCCAGATTCGAAAAAGTGGGGGCACTGCTCCCCCCCCCCCTTGCTTTCGTCGCCAGATACTTTCAGTACAGCCCTGTGCGACGTATACATGAACATTAATGTATAACGATAATACGAATAGAATTAAACACTAACTAGCAAATACACAACACATTAAACCTAAAGTACTAGCTCGACGCTATTATGTCTTCAAATCGCTTTTCGAACAACAGTAAGCAGTCATGTTTTGCAGGGAACGATTTCAGAGTTTGGGCTGCTGGAATTAGCCAAAGGCTCTTCAGGCTCTCTACCAGCAGAAACACAGCTGTAATTGAAACGGTTATGTGAAAGGACAGTTTCCACAAAGCATTCAAACCGTTAGGTCGGACAAGTGGACATAACTTCAAAATAATTTCTCACATTACCAGCGCATTTGAAAAAATACATGTAACTCACCTTTCTACTCGCCATAACTGTACTTCAGTAGCACAATCTCAGATTTATCGCGAAGATAATACTCGAAAATCGCTTGAAAAGAGCTAAAAATAGAATCGTCCAACGATGTGATCGCTGAGCAATAACAATGGGTTCTGAATCCAGGATTTAATTTCACACACATTTAAACCATAGTTAATAATGTTTTGTTTACTATTTTCCAAATTTGCATTTAATGTTGTTAAGTCGTGACGCAACAAACAACACTTGCACTTTTGCCAAATTCTCCAATACTCAACCTCGTCCCGTCTCAGGCTTCGTCTTCGGAACCAATCCCCGATTGTGGGCCTGAAGCTTAAAATTGAAGTACTGTGTATAATGTTTGGCTCATTTGAATCTTATTTGATGTTTTGTGGCATTATCAGATTTCCCATTGCGCATACAACTTCAAAGTCAGGTAGTTAAAAAAGTTGAAGCCTGAGACAGAGCCGAATCAAGTATTGGAAAGGGGCCGAGGTTCGCTTGCTACTCAGACCGCGCGTCTGTGTAACGCGCGTATGCGCCTGCTTTTATGACGTCACTCCGACGAAGGCAAAAAGCAATTGAGCTGCGTAGCACTAAAACAGATAACAAAAGATATGATAAACAACACATAGAGCTATATGTAGCTCTATGTAAAAATATCATTGCTCCCTACTCGCTTAATTTTCATGCAGATGTACTTCTACAGGTAGTGAATTGAAATGACACGCGGAAAACTCGATTTTTATAAGACAGGACCACAGTCAGCCAAAGAATATTCGGGCCAATTATAAATTCCACTTCACCATCACCCCACTAAGTACTCCTCGTCCAACAGGTACATACCGCAAACGGGCTATAAACAGGCCAACCTCACATCATTAAATGCGAGTCATTTTCCCCACAAGTTCTAAAAAACCAAGGCGCAGGACACAATTTTTTTAAAGGAAATCAAGAAAATGTAAAAGTGACTGACGAATGCAATAAGCAATTCACAAGGTGCCGTTTAACCTTCACTTAACTTTATTTCTCGATTGTATTTCAATTTATTTTCTTGCTGAAATCAAGGCAACTAACACGGATTAAAGTCACAGCCTACCCGAACTTTTCGTTTTGTTAGTGCTAAGGGGCAAAAGTGCACACAATATTGAAAATTAGAACCAAAAAAAAGATCTTATTTATAATCAGCTCCTAGCACTTTGTGTACAAAATAATTTATATTGACAGTAAGTTAACGCCTACTTTATGGTCAAGGAAATTCCTTTTGTTACTCAAAAATAAGAAAACTAAACCAGGAAAGTATCAAACGCAAAGCTGCCGATGATGTTAGAAAATAACCGCAACGTTAACAGACCACATGTGCAAACCTTCGGCAAGAGTAGTTATTAGCCTTCATGCTCCTGGGCCGGTCTTAACCGAGCGTTTGAGACCGGAGTGCACGTACTTATTCTCTTATAAATGTACACGTAAATAAGTTCTTCTCAGTATAACTCATTCAGCTCTTCTTTCTTCCAAATTACTCACAAACCTTTACACCCATGCCCCTACGACCAGTACCAACAGAAAAGATCCTGATAACGTAACTCTTGCAGAACGGGAGATACACCACGGGGGATACACGACCAAAGACAAAAAAACCTCCCGAAATAAGAACAAAATGGCTACAGCATCTCATTCTACAAATTAAAATCAGTTTTCCGACATACTGTTGTGCATCGGCCCAACAATTCTGTATGAGCGCCACCCACTTGTGAGCACATATTACAGTAAATACGGACAAGGCAGATCCAGAGTCAAATTTTCACGGTGGGGGGGGGAACATACTGAGGATTTCTTCTGCGACGATAAACTGGAGAATTTTTAATGGGAAACTGAAATAGGCTACAAACTTGTTCTCACTATATTTTTACAGAGAGCAAAACAAATCCGAAAAACCTCTAAAAATTAAATCAATAAATAAAAAAATCAATCAATTAATCAATCAATCGAATCTGCTTGGTTTTCTTTTTTTTTTGTTTTTTAGGACTGTTTGCCCCCCCCCTTCGCCGAGCCGCCAATGATAAGGTAGATGAAATTGCTGGTATGGTCACATTAGTTATGGCATGATTACATTGTGTTATTACTGATGGCCCTCTGATAATGCTGGAAGCAATGTGCCAATGTGTACAATACATGTAGTTAAAAAAGCATCGAAAGTAGAAGCACTACCTAAAGACCATTTTCCTGTGATGTCACAATCGTGCTGGACCGCAATGTGTTGTGATGGTAATCTACTTATTCAAGATAAACTAGTCAAGCATGCAGGGCTCGCACGTGCGCTTGCACGTGGTTGAAGCTGCCTGTAGGAATATTTACGATCACCGTGGCCAAGGCGGTCAACACGCGGAGATATTGTTTACATCATTTAGTGCAATCATTTAGTGCAATCCAGTCACGTGGGTGAAAAGGTCTATTTTATACAACAGCGGGACCCGATTACTCAATATGATACGTGTAATTTTCCTCCCAAGTACGATTACAAGAAGGGTATACACATATACAAAAATATATAGCCATTTATAACTAGTACACATCGGTATCACCACAAAGTGACGTGGAGGATAGTTTTGGTGGATCAAGAAGTGAGGTACTGTCCATAGACTTTGTACGCACGTTACGTCAGTTCGTGGTGCGGCAACTATCCACAACACGTCACTTCATGGTCCAACCGACCATTATTCAAAACGGAGCAAACCTGTGACGTTTATGCCTCATTCCTAACTTTGAACTGAACCTGATCTAGCGATACTGAATTATTCAGCACACTGAATTATTTTACGTATAGTGCATATTCTTAGATAAAAATATATACACTTGGAATGAATCTGGAATAATGCCCCAATCTGGAGGGTAGGTGGTTGTCAGTTTTGTTTCCCTCATTAGCTACATGGAATGAGACTGCGTAGAACTGAATGTGTCACAAGATATACATGTATAAGGATGAGTCAAATCATGAATACTAAAGGACCTCTTTAACCTAAGCAACAACCTCCCCTGCGAAAATACACCAAATGCACAAGCATATTTACCGGTACGTAAACATACCTAGGGTTGCCAATCCTTTGTTTATGTGTAGTAAGGAAAACTCTGTGAAAATCAGTGGCGGATACATTGTACTCGGAATTTTATAAAATTTTTTTTTCCCCGACTGAGAATACTTCATAGGTGAGTAGGAAAGAAACTAATCGGTGTATTTATTTATCGTATAAATTGACTATATTTTTTCTCCCCCATTATCATGTCGAACGGGCCCAACAGTACATTTGCTTTTGAATTCTCCCCCCCCCCACACCAAAATCTGGATACACCACTGGTGAAAATACTCAGGTTTCTTACACTGTGAACACTCTTTTTAAGCTGGACGGTTTCCTTGTGTGTTCCTCTTCCTTTTGCAATGGAAAACCTTGACCCAAAGATGCCTCTAAAATGGTTTTTCAGAAAGGTGATAACTTCACATAGACCTGGCTTAGGCCAGACAAGGTTCACCAAATCCAGAGCTGTACATGTACATGAATAAAGAGACACCAGTGCCAATTTTAGACTTGTAACCCAAAACAGCTGTTCATTTTGTGGGCAGTACAGCATGCGGCTACTGTGTGCTAATTGCCTATATGCACTGATACATAATCCACCATTTTGGTTAGAGAAACTCAACCAGTAGTCAACAAATAATCGTCACTCAAATTTGTCCTCATTTGAATAGCTTGTGACTCGAATTGAGAATGGATGACTGTGGGGGGGGGGAATCGACTATGACATTGCTTATAATACACCACCAAGGGCTCTGTGCCAGCGCGCTAAGTGAAAATGGTACAAGGCAGGAAGTATGCACTTCAGCTCTGAGCACACTGATTTAAACACATTTAAAGGGGAAACAGCATGCATAAGCTAAAGCCACTAGCGTTCTGTCCAATAAACATTCTCCCAAGCAAGGATGGGAGTCTTTGTTTAATTTGGTAGATGAGTACATGTAGATTTCACACTCCTTAAATCTGTAAACTTGACACTCCTATTTGGTGTCATGGCTGGGCACCGCTTTCCCAAATAGGCATTACGCAGTTAACAGTTTCTCATAATCTTGAATGCCTGAGTTCATCCACAAACCGTTGTACCTGATTTGGATGAGTACTTAGCCCAGTTGAATACTGTCAGCTGATGTCTGTGAGTTTGTCTGAGAGTTCTGTCTACGGTCAATGGCTTCAGCCACGTCCCATGGATGAGTGTGGGGCTGCTACGCAGACCTGGGACTTTCCAGAGGCAGCCTGTGCTGCACCACAACCAGCAATGTCACAATGAGTGCTTGCCACAGACCCATTTCAGTTGGTGATCTTGCTCCACTTTGGTCACCGTCTTGACCGATCGCCACATGCACTGGCACGCATATGCTCGACATCCTGGAGGGGTGAAGAGTAAAGATTGGAAGTTCCAGGCTACCAAGCTGGATAACTTGAAAAAAGGAGCAAATTAATAACTGATTTCTGGCTGAATTGAAAGAAATCTAAATCCATTACTGTTATTACACAGGTTGGACAACAAATAACTAACTTTTCAATTTAACATGATGAAGAGGTGGAAAATTTGAACAGCTGGATGAACCACCGAGACATCTCTTTTGTCCACATTTTCAAATAATTGCTCAAACTTTGAGCAATTACTTTCCCTCCGTTTATATAGTGAATGAAAATTGAGATTGTACGTATGCAAAACTGTGGAAATAAATGAACAATAAACAAAAACACAGACGTTTGAGTAGAGCCTACCTTTCCGTTTTTTTAACTTGGTGCTCAATTTCTTGAAGTCGGGAACGTTATTCCTGAAGAAGAGATATTCGCAGGTAGAGTCCCACTCATAGTTGTCGAAAGCCACAATCTTGAAGTCACACGATGTACAACGTAGTTGATCACACATCCTGAAATGACAGTTGGTCAAGGTAAAATTTAAACAAAGCAGCAGGGCTTAAATAGTTGTGACCAGAGAAGACAGCTCTCTGCAAAGCACAAGTGGAATGTGATGGAATGTTTGATGCTGCAGTGATTAAAATGCTGATGTACGGGTGTTAACCTTTGTGAACCCACAGCTTTTTTACACAAAGTGATGGCCATTGTCCAAGTCTATCTCTAAATCTAGCCTCCAGTACTTTATGCTGAATTTCAAATATGCATGAATGTGAAAAGTTCTTGTTCGTGTCCAAAGCAGAAAATGCCTTGTTGCAAAAAACAAAAACCTTGGGGCTGTTTCTTCAGAACTTAGAATTAATTAATTAAATTTAATTCATCAACAACATTTTCCAAGATACAGGTACTTCCCTTAAAAATTAATTCAAACAGTATTTTTAGCTGAAACAGTCGAAGTTGAAACAGTCACCCTTCACGGGGCCCCAATCTCAAAAACGAAAACCTACTGAGCGTTCAGACATCATTTTAACTTGTGAGTTGTTTATCCCCGTTTCTCAGGTCATGTAAATGAAAACAAATGCTTTATATTATATGACTCTTACAAGTCCATTGTTATACTTAGATCTTGGTTGCTGGGGTCGGCTTTAATGGACTTTGACTGATAACAGTAGGAGTAATTCAAATACAGTGCATCACCAAGAGGTTGCCACGGAGAGGCCAGTTATTAAGTTTGCTATCAACAAAGCAGGTCTACCTTGCTGCAATTTGCATTTAGCATTACGTCAGTAGACAACTTGGGGACAGGTTTGATTGATTGAGACACACCACACCAGAGAAAAAGGATTACTTCAAAACAGCTACTCAAAATACACCTACCAATCATCTTTCCAGACAAATATCAGAAATTGTCTATGACAAAATGGAGGCCAACTCCAACTAGTGAATAACTACGATACAGACTCGATTTACGTAGAATTTTCTGACTACTCTACCCTTATCACACAGAGCTTAAAACTGTCAGTCCCCTGTTTCTGTGAGTAGTCTGCAACATATGCATCACCAGGATTTTTCCTTGGGGGGGGGGCCAAGGAGCACTCAACAGCAGCAAACTGACAAACCATTAACAAAAAGGGGGTCAATTCCGAGATATTTTCATGCAAAGTGGTGCTAATCATCCCCTTTCTTCCTTGGTGTTTCTTTCACTGTTTCTTTCCTTTCTCCCCTTTTTGTATTTTAATTTTTTTCCCAGTGGGGGGGGCGTCCCTCTTGGTCTACAATCACATGCACAGATTTTTCCATCTGTCATTGTCCAACCAATTCTCTTTCTTCTTCCCAGTCTTTTCAATCAAGCTACCATCCACCATCTCACCGCTGTGATACAGCCGAGCTTAGTCCCATGGGATCTGCGCTGCCTCCAAGGTACACTGGGTTGCAGCGTCGCTGGGATATGCTTGTTGTTCGAGGAGTCGTACTGGTCTGGCTGTTCTGTCTTTGGAGTGTTTTCTGTCAAAATCAAATATACCACACACAGTTATGTATCAACGATGAAACACTTTTCTTTCTCAGGAAACTGCTTACCTGCTGCTCATTTAAGAGAGGGAGAGGAAAAAGTCCAGTCTGTCAATTAGCTGTGATTTTTTATGTGATTATTTGTAAACTGTAACATGCATGTAACATCGGGCAGACAGAAAAGGGAATGATTAGGAAACTCTATCCCCCTTTTAATAAATCCATCCTTAAGGCTTGTCACTCCCAAACTAAAGGTCCGGGAGTTCGAATCTGGCAGCTGGTTGTTACCCTGGGCTAGGTCACTTTACTGCTACATGTACATGCCTCTCATCCGCCTGCAGGTATAAGTGCATTCCTGTGAGGGCAGAGATGGTTATTGTGTTTGACAAACCAGGTTGCATCTAAATTGGCAGCATCGAGCTGTATACTCCCCAGGGAGTAGAGTTTATGAATGTTTACAGGTTTATTTGCGCATCAGCATTGGTGGATTGTGTGCATTATAACGACCCATTACTTTTATTATTACACTGTAATTGTGTGTGGCTACTAAAACATGGGTGTACTTGTCAGATATACTGTCACTTTGTGGTTGTTGCAGTGAAGGTACTACCACTGCTCGGCATTGATTGGTTTGGAGAATACTGTGGCTACACGAGGGGTGAGTTGACCAATGATAAAACTAGCTGAAAACAGATTAAAAAAAGGCATAAAGAAGTTGAACTGTGAAAATCTCCTATAACTTTGTACACAGCCAGTGAGGAAAAAAGCTGAAATCCCCAAACAAAAAAAGCTGAAATCAGCTAAAATGCTGAGAAATCTCACCCCTGCTACAGTTCAACTACTAATACATCCAATCTAAGTTGTCAGTTAAGGGCAGCCTCACCGGTGGTTCTGGTCCATCTATGATGTCATCTATCATGGAGTTCAGGTCATCATCTTCGCTTGCTAACTTCTTAGAACTGCTGCTACATAATGAAATATCAAAGAAAAGACAACAACCCTTATGCTGCATGCTTGCACATTTTTGCATATTCACCAACCATACCAACTGGGCTTTGGTCCAATTCAAGTTTGCGTCAGGCTATTCTTAAAACTCTGAATGAAAAGTAACAAAACATCGCATCCAAAGTAGCATTTGCACTCTTTCCTCAAAAACTGGTGAATTACAGAGTAAAATATTCACACAACTACACGTACATGTACATGTATGTACGTCCACTATTCTTGAGTTTTGTATGTGTTTACACATGATGAGGTGTACTCATGCAATGGTAAGTTTCCTTGGGACGAGATGTGTAGTTTTCACTTTTAGAGGACAGAACAAAGGACCATTACCAGTCCACTGTCCTCAGAAGAAAACACCTGTGCTTATTCTTTGGAAGAAGTGTTTATTGTAGGAACGATCCTAGCAAAACACAATGTCCTCTCCTGTGTGGTATTGCAAACTATGACTGTGGGTAGGCGTTCCCCTCATAAAGGGGCCAATTTCCTTTGTTATGAAATTGGGACTATCTTGACAGGACTGAGAATTGTCCCCATAACGTCTAAATTTCAATATGTGTGTCCCTGTAATGTGGAAACAAAAACGTGCATGCAGAGTGTAAATGTGTGATTTCAAAATTCAGGGAAAATTTCAGTGTTGTCTGAAATCTACTACATGTACTTCACGTTGCAGTAGTTAAAAATACTCATGGTTATAAAGAAAACTACTTGTACATGTATGCACATAAACGTTCTGGTCCCACGAATTTACATGTACATGTCTGGATGTGAAACTCAAATATTGAATTTCATTTTTGAGGCATTTTTTAGAGATCCTTTGGAAATATGAATTATAAAATCAGACACATACAGATACATATATAAAAAAATCTTGCGGTTGCAAAAAAAATGAAGTCGAATTTCTAGAAATTTGGAAGGCTTTTAGGACTTTACACCTTCTCTATAGGGGCGGAGAAAGTATCAAATAAAGTGATTCACTGGGCAGTGTTGAACAGTGGAGGAATTCTGGAACCTCCCTGAAAGATGCCCATGGAGTAAGGTCGAGGATTAAACAAAGCCACTGACTTCAGTTAGCCGTTCCAGGGTGAAATAATTTCACTCTTTGGCTGCAACGGTGAAGCCAAGGGATTGGGCCACATATTGCATTGAGATGAGAGGAGACTCCTACCCTGCTTAGGCAATAGTATCGAATAAACCTCATCTCCTGCAGAGCAGTGTGAGATATTACCTGGCAACTGGTAACAGATCAATAGGACGAGCTGGCAGTTGCACAGCAACAGGCTCATAGACTTGTGCAGGTCCTTTGTTTTCTGAAGTTCACGCATAACTGCTTTCAAGTCACTCAGAAAGGAATCATTTTTGTCTCACTAGTCTTTGCTGGTAAACTTTTTGAGCATGTCTCTCAAAGTCCAACAAAAAATGAAAAAATCCCAGGGCTGTGCCGAATACCAAAATAATTGAATATTCCCTTTCAAAACGCCCATTGGGTCGACAAATTTCGCACATTGTGATTGGCCAATGCACGTACACTATTGTAAAATGCTGGTATTGAAGGTCGAATATTCGAAAAGTGACTCATTCGAATTGATTCAGCCCTAAAGAAACATACTTGCATTAATAAGGGTTCAGTTTCACAAAACTGATCCCATAGAAATACTGCGTAACTCTATTTTGTCTTGGTGGTTGGGGATTTTTAGCACTGAAGTATTTTTTTTTTAAATTGAGAAAAATATCAAAGCAGCTGCTTTTCCAACGAGCTCAACTGTTGGAAGTATCAGTCAAGTCTGTCCATACCATCGATGCATGAAAAATAGGGAAAAACTACCCCAAGCATGCATGGGATTACAAATCAATCCAGTCAAATTTCTCAGCATTTCTGACAACCAATGTGTGACATTTTGAATCAGAAAGTGTAGTTAAAATGTATGGAGTACGTTCTTGTGCTGGTTCATGTACTTCATGTAGTTCTGCCATTTCAGACACCTACATGTACATGTAACTGTACTTATGACACGTTCATTCATTACTCTATAAGCCTGCAATTTACAAGTACATGTAAACAAGAATTACCAGTTTACAGTGCATTTAACAAGAATGCCTAGTTGCCCTAATCATCATATTGTAGCTTTTCAGAAGTAAAAGGACAATTTTTGGCACAATATTTCACTTTCAAGTTTGGCAATTTTTCAGTTCTTATGAACTGTTCTTATGAACTGTTCTTATGAACTGAAAGGCATTTTTTGGAGGTGATTGTTTAAAAGGTAAACAAACAAACAAAAATCTAAAATTTCTGCATGTCGTTGTTCCTATCCCATGCATCCAAGGGTTCCAGAAGCGTGACACAGGGGTTCAACTTCAAGGTTCCATTGTGAGTTTGCTTTATGAAGAATTCAGATGCCACACATTTTTTCCTAAAGTTGCCTTGTACTAGTAGTAGCCATCTGAAAGCAATCATATGACCTAATATGTCAAATTTGACTGTGAAAATATTAAGTTATTCAGGTAGAAAGTACTTAGAATTCTTCCAATCAGTCTGATCATGCTCATCGCTCAGCATGCTCAGAGGCATGACAGGGTTTGTGCACAGGATGTCAAGCAGCATCCGTGTATGGAACTCTTTCCATTGCCTTAACCCTGTTGCTCCTCCTAAGCATACCACTGCAATATCACGTCCCAATAGCAGGGTCCATCCAAACTCCAACTTACATGTACTTGGATTCCTTCCTCCATGTCCTCCATGCTCGGACTGTATCAGTCATATTGTCACATGTCAGTCATGTTAGTTTAACAGGGGTAGGGGCCTGGATCTGCACGCAACTTCAAAGTGCAAACATTTTTGGATATGAAGCAGACAGTGCACGGAATATGACAATGAAATATCCCCCAGTAAATAAACAAATGATAATTATATGGCTCGACTTTGGCAAGACATTTTTGCTTTTGCCTACCTTTTCTTTGAGAGAGCAGGGTGTGATTCTCTATCTGGTTTCTTTGATTTCGAACCGAAAGGATTGGTGTCTTCTCGGCGACGACTGGAACTATCTTTTTTTACAGGGCTTTTCGCACAAAATTTGGTCTCTACTTCGTCTAGAAGGTCATCGATATCGTCTGCCATGACTGTACCGTATCATCTACCTATTGTCAAACAATCGGAACATACTGCTCGCCCAAATCCAAACAAAAAATAATAAGGCCTAGACCCTAGTCCACTTCACGACAGACTTGATTAATTACAACCAACCATAAACAATGAATTATGCATGTAATGTCAAAGGTCAATTTCGATCTATTTTGGCATGGTCTTTATTCCAAGCGCGTCAGCCTTCAGACAGAGGGCAAGTAGAAAGAAAAAGAAAGAAGTATTTGAAAAGAAACTCGCCTTTTGGATTTTTAAAAATTCAGCAACAACTTTTATGCAAGTTTATATTAGTTGATGGGATGGGCCTCTTATCTTAAGGTTTTTCCCATGCTACGATTATCCGACAGTACGATCCCAAGCCTCGCCACTTCGTTCATCATATGTAGCACGAAAAGAGACTAGCAAAGTCACAGATGGCGCTATAACAAAAGTTGCATTTTCTCTAGTCTGGTGCTATTTGAAGTAGCTCTGATTATGCTCACAATAAGAATGGGAAGTCAATGTATTGTTCTCGCCTAAAATGTGCGAGGCTTGTTGCACAAGCTTCAGCTAAAGCCCAGCCACCGTACTTGCACAAGCTCTCGCAAATCTAATGCTGTGGTCATTCTAAACCACTAATAAATTAATAGACCTAAGAAGTTCAAAAAAGCCAGTTCATAGTAACACTGAAGCTGTCGAGTTTTGAATTTGATCATTTAACTTTGTAGGTGTCGTGGTAAGCCAAAAAACCCGTACTTTGAGTGATGGCTGTTCGTGCACAGTTCGAGAATAGCAACGAAATCGGAGTTTTTGCCAAACTGACCAATGCATACTGTTTAGCTGCTATCGGAGCGTCAGAAACATTCTACAGGTAGGCCCACAGGACCAGCTAATTGATAATATGCGGGGAAGTGTTTCATGTACGCAAGTCAGTAATTCTTCCCTACAGTGATAATAGCCATCAGAAAGCAAAACATCATGAACATGTCAAGAAAAGTTCAATTTAGGCCTAATTCAATTTCCGTACATGTGACTTGTGTGTGCAATTCTTAGCCGCGCGAATGGAATTGCTGTTCGTGCCCTGTTAAACGTCATGCATAGCCTATGACGAAAAAGGCTCTTTCTGTGGTTGGACCCCACAGTTTTGGGGGTAGGAAAATACCAAATCGTTTACCGAGAAAACACTTGGAATTTTTCAGACCAGTCTCATTGGGTTTGTACACAGGGTGTCAAGCGGCATCCATATTTGGAACTCTTTTCAGTGTTAAATTTGGAAGTTCAATGGCATGCAAAATTTGAAATTAAGGAAAGAGTTCTATTTACCAGTAGGCCTGTACAGACATGATGGAGAAACAGTTGATGCCCCTGTCGTCACAGTGATCAGGCCATGCCCTTGTGCAAACTGAGTAAAGTAGGAGACTTGTCTGAAACACCAGTATTTCTAAGTATATGCTTCGGAATTTCCTTAGCTAAATTTCACATTTCAGGACATGATATCACTCTCTGATGGCTGTTATGACATTTTAAGTGAAAATTAGAGTTGTCCATATATGAAACTCCTTCGAAATTATTTCTTGTGTCATGTGTGTAGAAATTCTGGGCTTCCTTGATCTGTTATTTGTTAACCAGTTAAGTACAAGACCACTATGGCCACTGACACTGATGACTTGGTGACCAAATGTTGTCTGTGTGCTTTGTCACAAAGTTTCCTGAATTTTACATTCTAAGTTTTAGACTTTTTTCAACACAAATTTCTTCACAAAGTCGAGGGTCATGGAAAAGACTGTTTGAAAAACAATTCACAACCTTGTAAACATTTTAAACCAACATGACCAAAAAAATTACCCACTTACGTTAACTGGATAAATGTTTTCTAAACTTGACAATAGGAAAATGTTCGATTGGCATGAGTGAAATTCTTTACATGCCAGAAATCTTTATGCATTAAAGTGTTGTTTCCAGCCCATGAGATCAACTTAAATCCTAATTTATTTCATCCTTAAATTGAATAAACTGCAGTCACAGATACTAAATTATAAGTCAAACCAAAATAAAACGATATTAACTATATCTGGCCTCTTAGCCCAGGTTGGTCAGACTAAATCCAAATGCACAACTGAATATGTGGGCAACTAGTGGTTGGTTTGTGACATGCTTTAATGGGCCGAGCAGGCCGGGGCACGGAAAATGAATACAAACTAACAACCCTCAAAAAAGCACACGGCGACAAGACAGATTTGGGAGGCGCCTCCCAAATTTAGTATTGAAATCACACAAAGCAAATTAGTATTTGCAAAGATATCCACAACACAAATTAACAAATGTAGATGAATAACAGTATCGGGTAACACAAGTAATAAGACCAGTGCAGGTGCGGGGCTAGAGGAGAGAGCACGGCTAAGGCATAGAAGCCCAAACGTAAAATTGGCTACAAAAATAAAGAAACCAGAAGAATGACCAACGCCCCAATGCGCAAAGCAGTCTTATATACTTGCAGAGTGCACCCAACCAAAAAGGTATTAAAAGAATTTGAAAGGTGTGCACGGTATGCCCGCAGGTGGAGTTCAGGTATTAACTGTTACAATACCTAGGGCATGTGCTGTGAAGTTAAAGTGTGAATGACCCTAGTCAACCGTTGTCAGGTCATTAGGCCGAAGGGGAGAAAAGGTGGCTGCAGGAAGGGCACAATAGCAACAATAAAAGTAAAAATGGTCATTTACTAGTGACATACTTTTTTTCAGGCATTTTTGTTATAACCGGTTCTCTCTGCACTATGCTATTAAAAACAGTTCATGGCAACCAATGATGCAACCAACCTTGATAGGCTGGTCGCGAATAGTTGACTAGACTAGTCCAACCATCATTGACTAATGTGTGTTTGATCAGAGTTAGTCCAACTCTGGTTAACTATGGTCCTTTATCGAACTTGCCCTGTACTTGAGACTTGGTTTTCGTCTTTAGGCCAAGTGAGCAGTTGATTATCGTGTGGATTTATTTTAAATGTCAATATTTGTTACTAAAAAAGTTTTCACGCAATTCTTGGCGGTCACTGTTGGTTGCAAGTCACCAACAAATAATTCAAATTCTACAGAAGTAATTGGTTATTATTCCTCAACTGGATATAATATTTACTGAAAACCAGCTCAGTCCGTACAAGTATCTACCATTTGGCTTGAAATGTGGCTAATGTCTGTGGCATTTATTCGTCAGTGTTTTTCAGGGTGAGCTTGAGGAGGTCATGCCAGTTGTCCACACATCGATTGCAGGGTGTCGAATTGTTGGCAGATTGTGTGTGGGTGAGTGGGTCCCTACTAACCTAAACCCTCACGTGGCTTACGAAATCCATTAGAAAACTTTTCGAAAGATTTTGTAAGATCAGGGAAGGGAGAGCCGAGCCACTGTTATATGTATTTTGCATAGGGTTGACACTCTTGGAAAAGGTTGTATAACTGACTGTATCCCCACGTTTCTGCACTGTGATTTCCTTTGCCCTGTGGGTTGTGTGCATTTAGTCATAAAGTAGGTGCAAATCAAGCTTGTTTTTGGTGCATCGGTCCATAGGCAGTACACTTTCCTCCGTTGATTGCATCTCCCATTTCAATAGGTGTGAATACATACCTACATGTATAGGGACAGCAATCTTTTTTGACACTAACTCCCCAGTGTCTTTTACTAGGCACTAGACCATGTAGACCAAATCCATGAAAATCCAACACTCCCTGTGCACTCCACACTTCTTACTGAAGGGCCCATCATTAGTGTGGTGGTCTTTCTTGATGGATCTGGTGCATGTGGCTTACATGACGTCATCAGCACTGTCGCAATGACAACATGCACTGGATGCTTCGGCAGTGCTTCAGGCCTCCTAGACCAAGTCCATCAAAATCCCCCAAAAGGAAAATGCTGTGTGTGCTACTCAGGGAGCTTTGCAATGTTGTGATATTTGTCCCAGTGTTTAAATTAAAAGAGTTGCAGTCATGCATTCACAAGTCTTTTAGTTTCAAGTTGAAAGCTTTTCAAACGTATCAGGGCAAAGGTGTTCCTTCGTAAGGCTTTGTTGATGTTCATTCCCTTGTACCTGGTATCAGACTTACTACATGTATGTTGACTTGGGATTAATTTCTGATGGACTGGACTAAAATGAGATATGTTTTTGTTGTAAATATACCTTGGTATTGGTAATGCTGTGAACTTATTTTGGGGGGATGTTGCAAGATCCCAAACAAAATTCTTTTGTTAACATTGCATTCAATTACAAAGTAGGACTGTTGGTCCATCCATGATTTCTCAGATTCCTTCCTGACAAGTTTCTGTCTTCCAGGTAACAAAAACGGACTGCTGGTCCCCAACAGCACGACAGATCAGGAGCTGCAGCATTTACGGAACTCCCTGCCTGATTCTGTTATCATTCAAAGGGTGGAGGAGAAGCTGTCTGCCTTGGGCAATGTCATCTGCTGCAATGATTATGTGGCCTTGGTACATCCCGACTTGGACAGGGTAAGAGTATATATATAGGCCATTCCATGAAGTTTGGGCACAGATTTTGGCGGCGTCCCTTATTATATATAAGTTTTATTGCCCATTATTTTCACATTGCAACAGATTAAGTCATTATTATTCCGCAAAGATGAAGCACACCACTACAAGAACCTAGCAAGATTTAGAGCAATGTCTATTTAGAATCCACATACAAGGAAAAAAAATGTTTATTTTCACTGATGTAACAAGGGACGCCGTCACAAACTGTGCCCGAACTTCGTGGAATGACCCATATATGCCCAGTATTTTCACCTGTGTAGGACTTCACACATGCTGGAGGGCTTGCCTAGTAGACACAGTAAGAAGACAAAAGTTCCGCAGCAGCACCATGCAATCTCATTTGTGACTGAATGGGATTCTGAAGAGAATCGCTGGCGTCATCATTTTGGACAGTGTGCTCCGTCTTTTCTCCTGATGGACAGAGTATATTCTCTGAAATATTGAGTCCACCGGACCTTTTCAGAACCCCACTTGCTTACATGGTGCTACAATCCTTTATATTCCTCAAAAAATGTAAGAAAATTATTATGTTGCTTTTCCTTCATTGTGTCAAAGCTGTTGTTATGCTCTTATATGAAAGAAACTTGTACGCGGACGTGTATTTACCTTTGAAGTCAAGACATGCAACAAGGTTTTTTGCACCAGGGCAGGAGAATGAAACTCCTTGCTTTGTGTTTATAGGGTAGGAGCAATTAATTTTTCATTGATACACTTTTTCTGCAACTTTGTGCTCTTCCCCTGTTTGAAGTGAATTTTTCCTAGCAGTTGACTGATGGTGGTGCTGTACTGAGATTCAGCCATTAAGGGTAAACTTATTAATTACTAGATGCATGTGTAGTTTGTCATAAAAAGATGTTTCAGTGTTGTCTTGTTGTTTTCCCCCATTGCCTTTGTTAGGAAACAGAAGAGATCCTGGCAGACACATTGAAGGTGGAAGTCTTCCGACAGACAGTTGCAGGAAATGTCCTGGTTGGCAGTTACTGCGTATTCAGTAACAGGGGCGGCCTGGTAGGCATCAAGACACATAAGCCCCCAATTGTGGTTCAGGTTGTTCCATAAGAAGGGGGCCTTTTCTCTTAACTCTCTTTGCGTCCAGGATGTTTTAGACGTCACCCAGAACACTTGATTTCCATGTCCATTTATGCTCTTTGTTAATGCGCCGGTGAGAATGTCTTTTATCACAGAATCTGTACCGTGGAAAAAATGGATTGTGCTTATAAATAACTGTTTCTTTGTTTGTGTTTGATTTTCCCATTGACATTGGCAAAGATGTCAGAATTAGAAATTCAAACCCAAATTCAAAAGCACATTTGTGGTTCAAATTGCCAGGTCTTTGTCCAGAAATACAACTCAAACATCTGACAATACCGCCGGTCACTTTCAAAATGCTTACTTGTAAAACACATGGATTGCTCAATTTTGCTGCAATTCTTACAGTGAAGCATCCAACCTCATCAGTTAATAGGTTTCACTCATAGCATTTCATTTCCATGGAGCTCCTATTGTGTGTCTGTTGGCATTGCCCCTTCGGAACCAGCTGCAGTGCTCAGTTCTTGGCTAGAAAGTGCTTTGTAAAATTCTTTCACTTGTAGTCGTTTTCTATTTTCATAAAGATTGGTTGACTTGGTTGACTTGGCGTCACAATATTTCCTTCTTGCTGTAGGTGCACCCCAAAACCAAAATCGAGGACCAGGATGAGCTGTCATCTCTTCTCCAAGTTCCACTGGTGGTAAGTCAGGTTGGCGTGGTGCCCCTTTGTTCGCCTTCTACTTCTGTGGCCTGAGTTCGAATCCCACCTTGGTCAGCATGTAGATTTTGGTTTTTGGTCCCTACCTGATTCTGTGGGTTTTCATGGAATGTTTATCTAGGGTTTTCCTCCATCTCTACAACTGAACGTTTCATCATCGTCTTCTTCATTGTCACTCATAATCATCCTGTAAGGAAGACTGTGCTGTTGGATACACTGAAATAGATCAATAAAAAGTAATTAAGTGGCAATTATTCATGCGATTTCCCAAAGAATTTGTGCATGCTGTGTAGTGCCGTGTCAAAGTGCACATTGATTTGATGGAAGTGGAGGACACAGCTTGAGCCCTTCCTAGGGAGAATGGGGAATTTTATTTATTATTTATTTATTTTTTTTTTTTTTGATAATTCCCCAGGCATTTTGAATGGGGATTGTTGATTACACATTCAGTTATTTTCCCAATGAATGTAGAAGTTGCATTCTCTGGGTTCCGTTGTGCATTTCACAAGAAATTCCTGACTGTGTTGGGGATTTATACAGGGAGGATTTCATTCAGGATTTATTCAGGCATCGTGTTAAGCGTAACAGAAAGAATAATTGTATGAGGCGATGGATGTTATGTTCAATGCCACTCAACTTCGTATGGAACAAACCTTTTAATTTGTCACCTCACGGCATTTTTCTTACCACTGCTTGTAGGCTTTCATTAATTCATGTGACCTTTGGTGTACCATTAAAAACCTGATGTATTAAAAAACAGTTTTACCAGCACAGGGATCCCCTTCAAACCACCTCACCCATTAATGAGAAGTTGTACCCTCTCTTTGCAGAAAGTTAGTTCGGGAAATTGTAGAGACGGCCTTGGGAGATTAAAAGAAAAACAAAACAAAAATGGAAGTGCTTACTGCTACTTTAGGTTGATTATCAAGCATTTGAGTACTCATTTCAACCACGTATCATCCAGACAATCGAACGGTCAGAAATTTATTCCTCTTTGACCCCTGTGTTCCTGCAGGCTGGCACAGTAAACCGGGGTAGTGATGTGGTGGGTGGGGGAATGGTGGTTAATGACTGGTGTGCGTTTTGCGGTCTGGACACCACAAGCACTGAGCTGTCTGTGATTGAAAGTGTCTTCAAGCTGATCGATGCCCAGCCCAGCCATATTGCATCCTCGATGAGGGATGCACTCGTTGACAGGTACACACCAGCTTCTCTGTTGTCATCTGTCCTCTGAGTCCAGACCCCCCTTTTGGATCATGCCTTAACCAGTTTCAGATGGTATGCTGCAATGAACTTGTCCCAGGGACATCATTATTTTCAGCCCAAAATACAGTTTATATAAAGACAAGATACTACAACCGAAGTCCTGTTGGACAAAGTTGAAGCTATAGTGCTCACCCTTGTTGGCCAACCTGCGAACCGAGGCATTGGAATCTTTAAGGAATCTGTTTTGTCTTGAATTTTGGAGCCTAAGATTGCCACTTTCTTCTTTGGTTTTGCAGTCTGGCGTAAAGTAGCCACCATCTGCGATGCCAACAACTGAAGCAACACAAACCTCCATAAGTCCAAATAGTGTGGACATCCCTGGTTCTGGAGTTGAGAAAGCCTGGAGTTGAGAAAGCGTCAGAGCAAGATTTCCAGTCCTCCGCTTGTACTACTGGTGGTGGGAAGTGGTGATACATGATTTTAACATGACACCAGTTGGACACCACCGAGAGTTTGCTGTTGGTCTGTTGTCTACTCCTTGGTCATACTTCTGAAGGTGTGAAGGGTGTCGAATAGATAGTAAATTACTGGATTTGAACGAGTCGTGTCCATGCACAAGTTTATCACAAGTAAAAATCACAAAATATCAGGGAGTGAATGATGAAGGAATACGTTTGTCACATTACATTTGAAAAGCTTCCCCTTGAACCTAAATGACTCGTGGTTGACTGGTGGATGTTCCATTTCAACTCTTTTGAAAGTGGTTGGAAAAAGTGTCACTTCATGTATTTTGCTAAAACTCTTCAGGCCATACCCTAGAGCTATATATAAAACCTAGAGCGCTGGCTCATGTACAAAGTGATGCCTGCTAGGAGCATCCATGTTTGTGCACAAACCTATGGAAACCTCAAAATTTTGTATGGCTTTTGTAAGGCTTTTTTCGTATCTGCATCTGTATTCTAAAGCGATATGTCAACCAAGCCGATCTGCACAAAACTGATGCACAAACAGTAAATGAGCATTTCATTTTGCTCTGCACAACAATGCAAACGTGTGCATATGCGCTGAAGATAATTTTGCCGTGACTTTTTAAATCCGACTTAAGTGGTACCCGATATGTGCTGCATTTCGAGTACTTGATTTGATATTCTATCCAATTTCAAATGTCTGCGTCCAGGATGGGTTCAAATTTTCCCTGCACGAAGAATGAGAAGTTAGCGCTCTAATTTAATATTGCTCTATGGGCCTACAAAGCTCTACGAAGCTTTGAAACCAAACTTCCTATTGGAACACGTTTTTCCTTTTTTTCCATTTTTTTTCCTATTGAAGATAAAGAGCAGATAATGTCTGCAAGACTGCAAAATGAACCTAAAATCTAGATACAAAATAAAATAGGGAACAGATAATTTGGAAATGTACACTAGGGCAGGATGCTTTGTCTAGAAGTTGTACTTTAATCTTCATGGTCATCTCCTTTGGTTTTAACTCGTGTTTCTCTGCAGTCTAAAGTTTAGATAGATTGATACTTCAGGAGCTGAGAATATCACCATGCCAATCATTTGGTTCAGATTTTTTCTTTTTCTGTGAGTCGTATTTCCCATTTCATTGTTTGTACCTCTGCAAGAGGAAATTTTGTGTACATTTAATTAAGCTACTGTAAAAAAAAAGAAAAGAAAGAAATTTATGAAACTACTACAAGCCTAATAGGTCAATCACTCATAACCTGCACCATGCACGAGGCAAACTTGATATGTAGTACGTGACAGCCTTCTACCTATCATGTGATATTTGGCTAGTGTTACAGTCAAGCACTTTCTGAGAACATTTTAGCTACCCAGTATTGAGCTGTTCATTGTGAACGCAGCCTTAGAAACATTGAGAGAAGTCATTAGATGGACTATCAGTGAAAGACAAGTTTTGACTTTGAATTCATGTGAACATATTTTTTAATTCAAATTTGGCTCACAGTTACTCAAAAAGTAGTTTCTGAGTGCTTGTAGTAGCTGAATCATCGAAATGTCTGGCAGTGAATTGGGTATTTTGAAAGCACTTGACTGCAACCCTGTTGCTGGCTAGTGATTCCCCAGCAGGTTCGTTTGGGTACTAAACTCCAAACCATTCAGGGGCACAGTTATTTACACAATGCCATAAAGTGCGAAGCAAGGCAGCAGTGCATTTAAGTTCGGAAGGCACAAAAAATATGTGAATCCAAAAATCTCTAGATATCTGGCAGTAGTTATGTTGAAATTCACAGATGCCACTTTCCCCTGGTCTCAAGTAAGGGGATTTAAAATTGATTATGAGCTTGGGTACAGTATTGCCATTGTTAAGTTTGCTTCAGTCCTTCATTGTAGCCATTGTTAATATTTTTGTAAAGCAGTTGGCAAACATGAAGTAATAAATGTTGGTATCTTACTTTGCTTGCATATTTTTCTATCCGATTAAAAGGAAAGGCAGAAATAATGTCTGTCATTTTTTTCTCTCCCCTTCCCCAACAACAAAAGTACATCCAGCCTTCCATAAGTAATTCTGTTTGGATGAAAATTTGACATGAATTTTCTTAACTAGAGAAAAGAAATGAAAAAAAATCGGGCTGTACGAGCTGTACTTGCATTTTCTGGCAGCAAGTGCATGTGATCAAGTAGATTAAATTCATTTTCCGGTCCCACCAAATTGGTTTGTGTTAACATGGAGGAATAAAACACATTCCTCCATTGTGATAATAGGACCAGTGACCCTTCATTTGGAAATCTCATACATGTGCTTGCTGTGTAGTTTGCTGTTACAGTTTCCGTGAAGACAACTGATTGCTCAGCAAGCTCTTTACCCTATCTTTTGTATGTCACTTGTACCAACTTTCTTTGTTTTTAGATTTGAATGTGATTGGCGAAACCATGCACTTTGGTTCCCTGCGTGCGTGCAAGTTGCGCTTTTTTGCATAAATTATTTCAATACCGTCCGTGCACAAACGCATCACCAGCAGTCGCGTGACGCTAACCAAAGCTGGTACCCGCACTTTACTGTTCAATGCGTGCTCTGTGCATATGCCAGGCTATAGGGAACAACCATTGTACGTGCTCTCTCGGTCATTTCGTGGGGCGTCTGTGAGGAGGCTAATTTCTTTCCACCAATTGCGGAGTTCTGAAGACAACTTTTCTCCTTTCCTCAATACTCGGTAAGGTCTTCCATGTAGTTTCCATTATCGTAAAGAATTTCAAGATAAAATTAGTGACAGAGTCGACTTGTGGAAAAGGGAAACGTTTGCGAATTTCAGTTATGAAAGTGCTGCAGAATGGTAGGATATCCTGCATGGTAAGTTTCATTTGATTCCATTTGATTTGGCTTTTGGGGTGTCATGTGTAGGCGTAGGCCTATTAATTATTAAGGCCAAGTCCTGCGGCACGTCTGCTTCAGTGCTTGTGTGATATTAATGATATTCCTCAGGCCTTCAATTCATCCGCAGGTCAAAACTGTGCCAAATAAAATTGCCACAGTGCAGGAAGGAAAACATGGGCAGAAAACAATGTAGGCCTAGCCATGCATGCCATTATGGGTCCTACTCCTTCAGTTGACCCATCCAAAGCAGGTCAACTCGTACGCTACCCAACTCGTACATTGACCAACTCGTGTGCAGTTTGGTCAAGCCGTACACTTGCCAACTCGTGCGTCGACCAACTCGTATGCCGACCAACTTGTGCGCTGACCAACTTGTACGCCGACCAACTCGTATGCCGACCAACTCGTACGCCTTGTATAATTAATGTTATTAGACATGTTAGAAACATCCTTAATTATTCCAGTCACTACCTTGACTGATAATGTCCAGGAGCTAGTCAGACCTTCCCTGATCCTGCGTAGGAAAACCGTGTACTGGATTTAGGAAAGGGACTACAGAATTGCACAACCCGGATCCCCAAACCTGATCAATTTGTAATGTGATTACATGGATGATCCGGCAAGGTCCGACAGGGTCCAGGGATCCGACTTTCACCCACAACCCCCAATAGTGTGTGTGTCTGTGGCCCATCTATTGTTGGTTGGTCCAACTGTTGTTGACCAATGTCTGTGGGAAATATCTGAGCATGACCATGTGTCTCACACTTGACACATTTCATTTAAAATGTGGCACTTCATCTGTTAATCTGCCCTGTGACCAATGGCATGACATTTGTAAACAATGTGACTTTGGCACATACTGGGCGCATCATGCACAAAGGACCTCTCTGCTGTAGTTGGGCTGGCCCAACTGTAGCACACTAGTTGGGACGGGCCCAACGTATAGTTGGGACTGATGCTGTACGTGTAGTTGGGGCGTAACACAATCATGATCGTCTTATCATGTACCCCTAGCCACAACTGTCTACAGGTGTAGGGCCTGTTGTCGTGAGAGCTCAGCAGATGGCGAATCCCATAGTTCAGGGGTAGGTCTAGGGACTAGGCCTATAGCCTAGCCCTACATGATCATGGAGTACATTTAGAAGCTCAATAGCAGAATAGCCTGACACCCCGCACGCTCAGCCTAATAGCCAGGTACAGGTCAGTCAAAGTGTCACACTCTTCTCAAGGGATTTTCACCTTGTACCCACATAACCAGTTATTCCAGGCCGTTTTTTAGAGTGGCGGGGTATTCTGCAATTACTTTAAAGCAAATTGGCCAAGGTGGTTTGATATTATTAACACATGGTTACACCATGGTCATGATGGCTATGTGGACTTACATGTACATGATTTACTGTACATGTTCATGTAGTTTGTGTACTTCCGCTTCCCCCTTCTTCCATCCCATTACCACCCTTACACCCCCAACTCCACACCCTGACCCCCTTTCCCCACCCACTCCCCCCTTTTCACCACCCACTCCTTCCCTTTCCCCACTCACTCCCCCAGCTACACCTCTTTCCTACTCCACTGCCCGCCCTGTCTCCCCACTCTTTCCCGGCTTATCTATCCTTTTAGTTGATTGTTATTATAGTGTAATGTCCTCCTATTGTTTGCTATATGTGCGATGGCCAAACAAATAATAATAATGGACCAGGTTGGATGATGTCTTCATTACTTTTCAATTAACATCCAGGGTACTTTCATTGAAATTTTAGAACACCTCTTCCCCATTACATGTACCTGTTTGAGTCAGCTAAATTTAGTTCACATATTACTTGATAAGCACCCCTTGCTTACAGGGTAAAAAAAAGTATGCATTGCTGAGCATGCATGTCAGGAAAGAGTTTGATATCCACACATCGCTTGACACCCCATGCACAGTATGAGAGCGGTCTTAAAAATTCTGTTTCCTAAGTAATTGCTTCAATAGAGTACCGAAGTGTGACATCACCGTGAACTAGAAAATGCAGTGCAAACGAATGGAGCACGCGCGCGTGTTGGTTCACGAGCTGGTTCTCGTGCTAATGCCCTTTACACACTAATTGTGTGCGTGACGTATTCACTTCGATACTCAATAGTTGCCCTGAAAAATTTGTCCTTTTAGGGCATGTTGTCGCATTCTGATTGCTAATAAACCACTCCAAGGAAAAATTAGTGATGTCCATATATATGGAATTCTTACCAAAGACTTTGGCACTTCTAAGCTACAGGTATCATGCATTCATTCTCATATGCACGCAAGTCTAGCAATGCATGTTCTTTTTGCCCTGTTGACGAGATGGCTTATATTACTATGAAAGTACTTATTATGCTAGGAATGACGTAAATGCTTGGTTTAGAAATTAGGCTAATATACACGTCTATGGGGGCGACAGTAGCTCCATGAATGGAGGAAGGAAAAGACTCCTTCCTCCATGATCCATGCTTCCATCATTAATATCCTAAACACACGTCTTATGTGAAGACTTACATGTACATGTAACTCGCATGCACAAGCATGAATTGTATGGCAGCTGCCAGTTTGGTTGACTTACAGTTACATGTACATGTAATAGCAGCATGTGCAATAATTGAGACTCCTGAAAAAAACTTGAGTTTCTGCACCAGTGCGCATATTTAAAACCACTTACATTTCTGTGTAATGCTAAATACAACCTTTTTATTACCATTTACTCAAGATTATAGTCCAAGCTTTGCTTGTAAATATTGTCATTAGGCAACAGCGGTGATAAACATCTGTAACCTCAGTTGGAATAAATTATTAGAATCATGTATTACATCCATCACTCTGTTGTGTTCACTCCTGCATGTACATGTATACATTTACATGTACATGTATGTGAAGGCCTTCTCATTGAAAGGTCTCTGCAGTACAATTTTTTAAACACAAACCCCCGAAAAGCACCTGTGTGTCTCAGTTTACCTCATTTACAAGTATTGTTTTATTGTTTGTAACCTGCATTTTTGCAGCCTTTTGGTTGTAATGCTAATGAGCATTTCTGTATTCATATGAGGATATTATCCCTGGAGGAATTCCTTGATGGTACATTGGTTTATTCACATACAAACTGCTGAGTTTGCTCGCTTAAATTGTCTTTTAAATTTAAGCCAGTTTGTAATCCTTTCTCGAAAGTGTTTTCATTGTGTCAATTCTTGGTTCACTATTTTAACAGAAAAACCTATAGACCTTTCTTTTATTACAGGTACAGTAGGTGTATGTCACAAGCACTGTTTTTGGTTGGCAAGATTGTTAGTAAACCTATGGCTAGTCGCTAGCACAAAACCTAAAGAAAGACTTCAGTGTCCAAATATCTTATACAAATAAATGTAGATAAAAAATAGTTGGCAGTTTTGTATTACGCTGCAGCAGTATGCTTCCCAATAAATATTGATATTGCAAAATGTGCATTTTGAAGCACAAATTGTTCCCAACAAGACTGAGTGTTTTGAAAATTTTGGCCATCCATGCAAAAGGTTGGTCTGTGTTTATAAAGAAAAGCAAAGTCTATGCAGTGAACTATGGCTACCATGGATGACATCACAGCAAGAGCATCCTCACTTGTTCAGGCAAACATGGACAGTTTGAATGTTTTTTAAAAAGTCCATTTTGCAATATGCTCTAAATAATTTGAAAGAGATTTAAAATAATTTTCATACATGAAAGAATTTTATAAAGTTGCAGAAAATTGTGTCTAAGAAAAAATCATTCTTGAGTAAAGAATTCTCAAAACTACTGAATTGATCTGATTGGTGTAAATTTGGTTTGTATACTGAGACTTAAGTGTTTCTGGCTCTCATTTCATTGGAAGTTTTTGTTCTTGATCTTTATACTGACCATTAGATTAGTCAAGTGAAGATGGCGAGCCAAGAAGTTCAGTTGCGATGTAAGCTGTGCCAGTTTACCGCTTCGTCAAAACAGGAGATTGCTGACCATTTTATGGACGTGCACGCAGCTGTAGAAATAATCGGCACTAGCTCCCCAAACCCGTCTGGACCGACCCCTGAGACAGGCAGTACCTGTGCCAACCTGAACAATGAAGCAGGCGATGCAGCCGATCCGAGCACTTCCGATGCACTCCCTTCAGCAGGGATGGAGGTTGGGACAGCCGACAGAGCATTGAGTAAGAAGAAGGTGGGTTTTCGGGGTAATGCCCTACGAAGCACCATCAGTCACCTGGTGAGGGCAGCTGAGCAGGCGTCCAAAGAAGAGCGGTCCGCCAATTCAGGTAGGGCATTGCTTCTGTAGTCCAAAGCTTGATGTTTTAAACTGTTTTAAATTTGCAGGTGTTTTTTTTTAATCTCTTCATGTGAAAATTGCACAATGGTGTAACACCGATAATAGCCAGAAATGTCTTGAGCCTCTTGGGCTTAGCTGTTAATTCATGAAAATAGTCGCTGAAAATGTAGAGACAAACTTTGTCTTTTGTCCCATCTCCTTTTACAAGAACAATTATTTGGAGTCCTAAAAATGTTATAAAGGTGGAGACCAATTTTTACATTTTCAGATAAAGTTTTGTTTGAATGGTAGTATGATTATTTTGAAGGAGGAGGGTAGGAAAAATGGTAATAAGTCGGAGGCGCTAACACTTTGCAGTGATGGTTGTAAAAGGCTTGCACTCTTTCCAGTTTCTCATGTTTTTCAAAAGTTATGAAGTGCAGAATTTTCTTTTCCAATTTTACTTGTAGCCAAGACTCCCAAAAGCGTTCGGAGGCACCAACAGGCCAGCGCTGTCAAGGAAATCAGTCAAACAGTCCATGCTGTTGGAAGAGAACTCCGGAAACACAAGATGAAGCGCAAATTTGAAGACTTTGTTCTGCTTGATAACGACCAGCCCCAGAGGAAGCAGCCGAAAGTGTCACCTACCAAAGGTACTGCGGGCAAGCCAGGGCCTGCGGGAGCGAAGGCAGGTGGTGACAAGCAGACTGCAAGCCGTAAATCCAGGAGAACCAAGCAGACACAGGTAGTGAAAGGTTCAAAAGTAAAGGCTACCGAACTCAAGAAAAAGATGGATGACGAGCTGCAGCAGTGGTACGAAAAATGGTCTCAGAACCGGAAATCCATAATGGAGACCTGCAAGAATGCCAACTGTAATTCCCAGCTGCCGCCTGTTGAGATGAAACTTCACGAACAGTGTCACATGAAGAACTACACTGGCTTCAAGTGTCCTCATTGTAATCACATGCATTCTCAGTGGCGAAACATGAGGTGCCACATCTATAACGACCACCAGGAAATTGCCAAACCATTGCTGCTGTGTGATTGGCCCGGATGCTCAGCCCCATTCACCATCCTGTGGGGCCTTAAACGCCACGTGCTGCGTGACCACATCCAACCAAAGGCCATCCAGGAAAATGTCTCAGAGCAAGACGAGTCACTGGTCGAAGTAGGAGAAGCAGAGGAGCAGTCCAGAAAAGACAAGGCCAGTGAGGAGAGTCTGCCCTCAGAGGAAGCTGACCTTGTAGCCAAAAGAGCGGCCATCAGGAAGAAACTGAGCAAGGGAATGGAGGAGTATGTGGATGCCGGAACCACGGAGGAAGAAGCGGTGAAAAAGATTCGCAACAGAAAAAAGTTTCACAAGATTGCTTGGCTGCCTTCCTGCTCCGTGTGCGAGGCCAAGTACATCTCCATTGAGAACATGGACGCGCACATCGCCCTGCACACCGTGGAGGGCAGCGACAGCGTCAAGTGCGCAGAGTGCGGAATCATTGTGGACGACTGCACCAAACTCCGGGCGCACATGAAAGAGAAGCATCGACGGCTTCTCAAGGTCTACCGGTGCGAGCTGTGCAAGTATGCGGGGGACCGTCACTACGACTACAAGAAGCATCTCCTGACCCATGAGGATACCAAGCCATGCATGTGCGAGGTTTGTGGGAAGCTGATGTCGACTGTCTACAACCTCAAAGTCCACATCCTGCGCGTGCACGCCACAGAGGAGCAGAAAACCGTCCACTGCCAACACTGCGATTACCGGTGTGCTGACAAAATTGTGCTGAAGGACCACATGCGCTTCCAGCACAATCTGCTCTGGAATGGCGACCCATACAAGGACGTGGATACGTGGCGGTCATACAAATGCGACAAATGCGATTACGTTGGTAGGAAAGAGAAAAGCTTGAAGTATCACATGCGCGTGCACACAGAACATCGCCAGTTCCGATGCTCCATGTGCTGTTACGCGAGCGGCACCAAGAACAACTTGATCTTGCACATGCGAACCCACGCAGGACTGAAGCCAGTCAAGTGTTCAGAGTGTGATTACAGAGGTAACTAGTGGCAAAATGGATTCTGAGTGTGAACATGTAAAAAGTGAAAAAAGAAATAACGTGATAGGTGCATGACGGTGGGGTAACTAGCAGAAAGTAAACTACTGGTGGGAGTTGAATAACAAATAAAAGTAGAACCACTTCAAGGTCAGGCGTTGTTTTGTGCAATGCATTGATAGACAAAGGAACTGGCTTGCAGCAATGGTGGCCAAGCATTGCCGTATAGGCCACTTCTATGGTACGTGATGATAGCAAAAACCTACAGTTGCGCGCGCATATCAGCACTTTTTAATGAAATTTGTGAGAATGTGTAGCTTTACTACCCAGATGTAAGTTTCATGTAGATGTGCATTCTTTACATGGACATTATTTATTGTGTGTTGAGATTCTTTTGGTTTTCTGAATGCCTTTTTTTATTGATAGTTTACGTAAAGCACTGTGCTTGTATTTTGTTTTTATTTGTAGGTGCAACTAACAAAGTTGTCAATGAGCATATAATGTCCAAGCACAGGGGCATAAGGCCCTTCAAGTGCCCATGTGGTTGGTCGACTGCATATAGTGGAAATATGTGGAAGCACATGCAGTTTCATCGTGAGAAAGGTGACGCATACAAAGATATCGCAGAAGCAAGGTATGGCAAACCGGGGCCCAAGAAGAAGAAGCAAGTCCAACACAGCGAAGCACCTATCATCCAGCAGCCTCAAATCATCACCATTGTCCACGAGTTCCAAGATGCCCAGGACGCGGGGACGCTGAACAGCGGCTCCCATCAGCCCTCTGCCACAGTCGTCCCTTTCCAAGAGAGCACGCTCGCTGCTAAGGACGTCCCCGCCTCATCCGCCGTCGCTCATGTGGAGGACCTGCCCATTCTGGGCACGCACCTGCTGCTCAACAGTCTGGTGCAGGCCGCGACAGCAGTTGCTCCTTCAGGGACCAAGGCTGGCAGTGACGACGATCCGGCCACAGCTGGCCTCCAGCAGGCCCCTGAAGAGCTGCAAGACCACAAGGAAAACCAGGCAGCCAGTTACCTGTGCAAGCTGGCCCATGCCGTGTCCACCCAGAGCACAGGCCAAGAACAGGAGAGCCCCAAACAGATGGCCGAGGGCAAGGAGCTGCCGTTAGGGAGTGGAGTGCAGGTGACGGAGGTACAGGTGCCAACAGCAAACGCTGGCTCTGTGGAACAGACCATCCAAGAACTTGTACTATGGTAGAAGTAAGAGATTAACTCATTCTAGTATGAAACACAGGTACATGCATCATTGGTGGATGGGGTAGGGGTTCAAATGGGGGCGACCCCCAGCCCCCACAAAATAGAGGCCATTTGGGAGGCTTGGGATTAAATTGACATGTACGGTGTATAGAAATAGAATATCTTTTTCGTTCTACAGGTAACTCTCATCACAGTGTTGCTATATGTAGGACTAACCGATTTATCCTGTTATATCCAGAACCTTGTCGTAAAAGGATTGGATGAAGAAAGAAACAGAATTAAGGAGACTTGGGACTTCAGGGGAATTTAAGAGTGGTCATTATGTCAGGGGTCTACTGCGCTTCATTTCCTCTCCTCGAAGTTTGGTTAAAGCTCCAAAGTTAAGCTCTAATCTGTGAAAGACCCTAAAGAATGCATGAAGATATCCACAAAGCTCCCTCCCCCAGTTTTTGCCCCCCTCGCCCATACACTTGGTTCTTGACCTGCCCCCATCATGTACTAAAGAGTGCTGAAGTGAATAAGTCATGCGCACAATTGTGTGTAAAAGGCATTAGGGGAGAACTATCACATTTACTGGGTCAAAATAATGTCGCATTTCTGTAGTCCACGTATGTATATACATGTACATGTACACATTAAAGTTTAACGAAGTGGTTCATCCTGGATTTGATGATTTAATTTTTTGTTTCTTATTCACTTATGTACAAAGCGTTATTTTCAAATAAGATGTTATGTTATGAAAAGTACAAAGAAGAGGCCTGTTTAATTAGGAATATTGATTAGTGTTATTTCTCAGTGGTTTTCTGATGACAAACATGTACATGTTTACGTATAAGGAAATTTGGCTATATGAGAATTAGAGTTCGGGATGTAATGTAGGAAGAGTTGGCAAAGGCCTTTTATGAAAGTGCTCAACCTGACATTAATTTCTGTCAAGTGCCTTTTATAATGATGCATGAATATTTGAAGTAGACAACCTGGCAAGCGAAATTCTCAATGCATAGCTTTCCAGAGCATTGTTTATTTGGTGCTGTCCGTCAGGTTGTGGGGAAAATGTTGGAATGGACTGGAATGTCGGAGTCAAACCTATGCCCTGTAGAGAAATATGAAAGGGCTGCGTAGCATCGTGATCAGAATATTGACAAAACTATAATTATACAATCGGTGCTCTGAATTATCTTATTTACTGGCAATAAGATATTTCAGAGCATTGATTGTATAATTCTATTTTTGTCAATGCCTTGCTAATAGGACAAGGCTCAAGAACCTAATGTAAATGTATACGTTTATCGGTTAATGTATAATATTTACATCAAAGGTGTCATAAAATAGGCTGAATTTTTGTGGGTGTCAATGCTTCCAGTGGAGTGATTGTGTTGGATGGGCAGATTGATAATTAACTATGGGGAAATACATTTACATGTATTTTAATTACATGCAGTAGTTTATGAACTGTTTATTTTCTGTTATTTTGCTTTGTGCATGGTGTGTAGGTAGCATGACTTCATGGTTGTTAGCAGTACGTTTTTGCTCATCAGTAGCAAATTTACATATAATGACTATTAATAAGGGTCAGTACTGAGGTAGGTATGTGGGGGATCAGTTGTTTTGGTTTCTTTCACTTTTATTTCTTTTTCCCCCATATCTTTACGTTTATTATTTTATTCAGAGGGCAAGCTTGCCCCGGGGTCCTTTTGATTCATTCCATTTTAAATGGGGGGGGGAGGACAGTATGTAATCACAGCTTCTAGACTGATGAGGGCTTCAAGTGTTTGTGTGCTCCTCAGGTGTGTCTTGGATACAGGGGTCATATTTCGTTTAACGGACTGGACCACAGGGCCAGTGGTATCTCATGAAATTCCAGACCAGGGCATGCTACAAATCTCACACTATGTACTGCCTCAAAAGTTGTGTAACACATATCCATGTACAAGTATATAAGTTTACCTCAAATTTAAGCTTGCACAAGTTTTTTTTATACAATAAATATGTTAGAAAAAAAAGTTATAAATTCTGTACATGTATGTTAGGAAAAAAAACAGACTGCCATACTTGTTTGGGTGTCGATGTTGCACGACTGACGTTAAATTCACTGGTCCAATGGGTATTTTGAATCCAGAGTTACACAGGATACTTACAGTGCAGGATTGGTTACATGTATGTGCGTGTAAATAATAGAAGGGTTTTTCCAGGTAACTGGTGAAAGATTGTCTTTTTTTTGAAGGTGCAAAAAGATTCACATTTACAAGCTTGGAATGCATAGTACCAGTGGGAAGGATAGGCTCCACATATATGTACTGACATCATATTGCCCTACATGTAAACCTAACAAATTTGTTTGAAAAGAGGATATGTGGGCAAAATCTGTGTTGCTTGATCTGCATTTACATGTGCAGTTCTGTTCTCCACCAAAATTCATAAAATGTTTAAAATCACCCGTGTTTTTGTGTTCAAGAAATTGATCCCTGGGTACATGTAAATGCCTCGGGCATAGGCTGGTTTTCTGTGCCAAAGTGTGAACACTAAATACAGTTTCTGAACAGCGGAGCATTATTAAGTGATTTATTGATCATCACCATCAGCTCTAACATGACGAGGAACAAAAGTTTTGCCAGCGTAACAGAAATATTATGGTAAAATGACTGGAATGACTAGGAAAAATGAGAGTTCTAGACAATTTGGACTTATGGTTTTGCTCCTCATGACATTGTTCTGAGAGTGCTCGGTACACCAAGTTGACTGTCTTGAGTATAAGATGTATGAATTATTTGAAACACCCCAAGGTACATTGTAATTTGGAATGTGGAACTTGCTTTTAAGGTGATTTAACTTGAAGGGAGTAATTACAGAGCTGGAATTCATTTCAGAGCCTCAATTTGACCCAGACTGCATTTGCAAGTCTAGCTTTGAGTTGAACTCATATTGAAAAGCTGTCAAACGGATAAAAACCTCATCATTCTTCTGGTCAGTAGCATTGTTGAGTTCTTGCAAACCATCATGGCAAGAGTAATATTGAAAAGGGGAGGGGGCGGAGAAACAAGGTAAGGGGGGGGAATATACATGTACATGTAAACGCCCACCCCAAGTTAATGCCATGAACATACACGTGGACATGTACCCATACACTTCATTTGACAAATCATACGGGAAGTAGTGACAGTGAATTCTTGTTGACTTTATCGCATGTCCTTTATTACCCAGTCTGCAAACAATAATAATAAGCATGTATATAAAAATGGCATTGGTTATAAAACACTAATCGCCTCGTTAAAAGTGTGTTTTTGCTCACAGAAATGACAATAGGAGGAAGGTGATAGCATAAACTTTCTCATTCATCGAAACGTCAGTGCCAAATTATTGATCTGGTTGAAGATAATTTTAAACCCAATAACTTTAATATATGTATAAATTTTTACTCCCTACACCATAAAATTCAACAGTTAAAAGAATGATTTCCACACACCAGTTGTAAACTATCATAATTTCTGGAGCACTATGTGAAATATGTGTACATGTAATAGTGAAGCAGTTTGTACAGTAATTACTAAATGTGATTTATATCCCAAACAGGCACAATCCTTGTGTGTACTCGTATTGTGTGAAGGGATTGTTTGAAAAACATACTTGATTTTAATGACTTGCCGAGGCTGCAATAGAATGGTTCAATATTTCAGCCCAGCTGGTTTACTGCTTTCTCAAATCTCTTGGGCATCAAGAAGACGTTGTTTGCTTAAATCAAACCAGCATTTTCAAACATTTCAAGCACTGATATCTTACAGCACAAGCTTCACCACTCTACAGAATACTCCACACGTTTGCACAATATACCTTTCATTAAGACCAGTCTTACAGAAATAAAACATTTCATTACCAAAGAAACTCCAACTAAATCATTCCACTGTGTTTACTGCAACTTATATACTAAAATCTATTGTAAAAATTACATGTGTAAGCTTTAAACTTGACTACGCAACTGAATAATCACATTATGAGTTGTTTAGTATGAAAAATAAAAAGGCAATCCAACAAATCTTTGCAATCCACTACAGCAAACGGTAAAATGCAGATTGAAGAACAAACAAGTAAGCTTTTCTTTGAAGTCTTAAACAATTCTCTTTAAGAAAATGAACTACTGATTCACAGATGAGCTGCCAGTTTCCGCTCACTAAATTCCATTTCACATCCAATTAATACATTTTTATTTCTACAGTACAAAAAAAAAGAATACATGTAGAAAACTGAACAGCAGTCGCTTTGTTACGTGCATATTAGAAGCCAAGGCAATGTTTATTTCAGTTCTGAATATTTTGAGTTGTTCTTTTGTTTTTGATTTCTGTTCATGGTCTTTTCAAAACACCTTCAATAACTTGCAGTTGGTAGACAATGCTGCTGATTGTCTGCTTACTGGTCAAACGGAATGAGCTCCCTGACCTTTTCTTCACAGAATTTACTAACTGATACAGAATACAAGATCATTCTCATATTTAAAACACTAGTTCTGCCTGTCTTACATGCAAAAACCTAACTACAGCTTTGAATTGTCAGACTTGAGCTGGAGGTCATTCAGTAGTCTCTCTTCCATTCCCCCCAGCTTGTCTGTTCAGTTTGGGTGACCAAGCCTTAAACAGTGTGGCGCCTCGGCTTTGGAATCAGAAAACTTTTCTTTCTTACAGGAAATCAACAAGCACCTGTTCATGCAGGCTTTTTGCCAATAACGTTTTTTTTAATCTAGAATGGCTTCAGAGACAGGACACGTTACAAATGTGTCACCGTTGTTATTGTCAGGCTTCAATGTCTGCTGTAGGATTATTTTTGTTACATATTTTCATAACATTGTCGCATTTTGATGTGGGGATAAAAAGAGGAGATGCAGAAACTTGGATGCCTTTATCGATCCATTTGTATCCAAGTTTTGTGCATATTGTTTTACTATGCTGCAGCACCCAAGCCTAGTGGATAAGCTTGACATCATCGATGCGGCCCCTCTTGCGAGGAACAAGCTGCATGAAGCCACAGGCCATCGTCATGACCACCAGGGCCAAGACAGCGATCACTGCCACCATCGTCCAGTGCATGCCCAGGTTCTCCTTGCCCAAGCGGGCCAGAGAGCGATCAATCCAGGCTGGGGGGTCGTCCATCCAGGAAGGGGGGTGGTCCGCATCTGATGGAATCATCTCGCCATTCGCTGCTGGTGAGAAGGAAATGTCATCATTCAACCTGTCATGATCGTGAGCCTGTAATGTCCATGCCTGTATTCATGCCACAAACTGACCAATGTTGAATGCACTTCAACTCCATTGAATTTCACCAGAATGTTGCATAATGTCCAATTCACTTTTGCACTATCAAATAGTTAAAGCTGTCCTTTTCTTTATTTTTTCAATTCTTTGCACCCAACATGCTTGAACAGCTGCCAATTATGTACAGAGAAAAAATACAATATCCCACCCCCCAAAAAGTCACAGGTCACAATCATTACCAACAAATTTTCACCAAAACCAATGGACCATTGCAATATAAACTCCCCGCCTGCATAGGTTGGAAGTTCACACTCGTGTGAAGTGCCAAAGCAGTGGTCAAGTTTTATCATTCGACACGCATGCGATAGATTTCTGGTAGAGTGCTTTGAAGTTTTTTTTCTTTTAAAAACCAAATCAAATACATGTAAGCTTTGTCTCTGGTGGCAAAAACGGGGCAAATCTGGATGCCTACCGCGCTCGCAGCTGGGTCCTGTCCAACCAGGTGCACAGTCACAGCGCATGTATTCGCCATGCTCCTCGTCCACACCAGAGATGCAAGTGGCATTGTTGTAGCAAGGGTATTCATCACACAGTGAGTAGTCCCCTGGGAAGTTGGAGAGCAGATTGATTGAAATTACAGGCAAGAGCAAGAGAACATTTTTTAATGTCAAAATTGGTTTAGAAACCCCTTATCTGTGCAAAATTCAGTTGAGGTAATTCAAAACTGGGGATCGTAATCAAGAGAGAAATTTTGTCGTTTTATACATTTCTGTGTATGCAAAGAGAATTCAGCCTCTGCATGTTAATACCGTAAAACTACGGTATCATATATCAATATCATATTGATATATTCTTGTTTAAACTATATCCATAATCATCTCTGACTGTTGTGTGCTTAACATTTTATGTGTATACTGCTTTAAAAATTTGTAAAAGGATTCCTGGTCTTTTTAACAATGAGAGGGCTTGTTACATGTACATGTATGGTACAGTTTGGGGATTGAGATTGCATCCAATCATATCTAAAAAATCAAATATTCAGCAACAAATGGGATCTTTTCATTTTACTGGGCTTCACAATGTGGAAAGGACGATTCTCTCGGTCATCTGATTAAATAAATCTTACCAATACATAAAGGAACACGCATTATTTGTACAATGTAACATTTGATTTATGTGATCGTCAAAAGGGAACGGTTCATTATTGATCTAAAATTATTGCAAACACGTACCATCAAGAGGGACATCCCTTCTGCGACGGCCTTTTGAAAAGAAGAAAAAAAAAAGTTTTAAAAAAAGCAAGATTATGAAAGTGATTAAAAGTGATACAGTGATTTCATGTCAATGCAATAGAATGTGTATCAATAACACAACACTATACAAATATTTGAAAATCATGGTTTGTCACAATTACTGTTGTTTCAGAAGTTGGAAAGAACTTCAGCTTCTAATATGATTCCTAGGTGACAAATGGAATATTGATGTACTTGAGCAGTAAATGCTGCAATGCAAAAAGTTTAACAAAGCTTCTTTTTCAAGAAAATATTTTTCGGGCCAACTATGGTGTTTTGTAGCTTTCACTGGCGCTGTCCACAAGTAAAGCTTGAATCATCAAAGAAATGAACCTGCACCGAACATTAACCCTAACACTCCCAAATCCTCCAATTTCAATACCATTTTACATACACCCTAAGGGGTTAGGGTTAAATATCAGTAATTTTGCATCTACATAAATATTTAGTGCAGTATGTGTAAAAACGTGCATATGCAGATTGGAGCCCTTGACGGTTGCTCCTTGTGGACTTGCTTGAGAATAGAAACATATACTTGAACCCCATGCCAACTGTGCGTCCAGTGCCCAAGCAAAAACTGCATACGAAGCTTCTCGCAAAAATCACCTGTGGTGCCTAGCCACCCCCCCACCAACCAGTGTGAGTACATGTATTCTTACATATGAGTCATTACGGAGACATTTTATGGTAAATTTTTCGACCTTAGGGAGACATCGGTCATTAGGGAGACATTTCAATGTCTCCTTAATGCTCCAACTACCAGAAGGAGGCTGAATTTTACTGTCCAATTTTGAGAGATGACTACGGTCTAAAATGAAAACATACAAATTTTGGTTGAAATCAGATTAGGGAATATTGAATTATGGGACAGTAAAGTTTGTGAACGTTCTTATGGGAATGTCTCCCAAGTGACCCATTTTGGGTAAACAGTATGAGGACATCATTATTTTACAGGACGCAAAGCACTTTCGGTCGTTCATCCACACATCCATATTTTTTTCTGAAGAGCGGAGGTACTTATTTTTTTTCCCTGTGATAGATAACATGTTGACCCTTTGCTGATTTTGTGTGACAAGTAAGTTCCCACCGACAAAAAAACAAACAAGGTACGCTACTGAAAAATGTTACTTTCCCTTTTTCCCCCAATCCTGGAAGGCATAATTCACCAAAGCTTTCAAAAAACTGTCCCTAACTTTCCATGCCCTCATAGCATCAATACAACCTGCTCTACACATCAAGACATACCTGATGAGGGCGGGCCACACACGAATGAATCCGGGCGGAAATAGCACTCCATACCAGCCGGGCATGGGTTAGAATTACATGGGTTGACTGGAGAAAAAAAATCCAAACAAACCAAAGTCAAGCAAGTCACTGGAACTCCGGTAACAAACACTCACAAATAACACAAGACATCACAAAAATGAACAAAATACAAAAAACACAGGGTTGAATGGAGGAATCATGGTCCATCTCCTCCCCTCCCAAACACACCCCCAACATTCATTCCTGATTACATGTTAAAAACATAACAGCCACGTTCACACTCCAACTTAACCTAATAATAACAGAGGGTTGCAAGTCAAATAATTTTCATGATGCAAATCAATGGAAACCCTCAACATATTTACCCCATATAATGTCCACTCTCATCAGTATGCCAAGCTGAGAACAAAGAGCTCCTCAAATTTGCTCTTTATAATTGCTTTTTTTAATGGAAACAAAATGGCCTGGAGATTCATTTTTTTGAGGGATCCCCGGTTCTGAAAGTCAACTGCATTTCTGATACCAGATATCATATTTCCCTGTAAATTCATAAAAGTTGAACGCATGTGGGTTTGGGGGACAGAGCTTTGGCTTCAGGGCTTGGATTTGGAGGTTTTCAAGTTGGTTGGGGTTGTAGGTTTTTGCTGGGAATTGTTTTTAGTAGGTCGTGTGTGTCCAATTTTTTTGGTCCAAAGCTGTCAGCTGCTCCCATCTGCATCAACTATGTATCTAGAAACTTGCAGACAAACTCTCTCAAAGTTCTTGCTCAACACTACCGCTAAATGTGAGGTCTTGTCTCCCGTAACAACATATAAAGAGCCCATGGCACCACTGCTTACCAGGTAAAAAATCTGTGCCAAGTGCTTGTTTCACATTTTCAAACTAACATGCGCTTGACATTTCAAATTTACTCAAAAAGGAGGAATTTTCAAGTGCCATTCATCCATCGCAAATTGAAGTGTTTTATATAAGGGGCATATGGTCAAAATTTCAACCTAGGAAACTGAATTTGGTTGAAATGGCAGTGATTTGAAATTTTTTCCATGTTGTGTGGGAGTTTTTTACACAAGAACGAAGGAAATACCCACAAGCATACATATGTAAGGGTGTTTTACTTACATGATGCACAAGTAGCTCCCACCCACACAATCGGGCAAGAGCACAAGAACCCGGAGCCTGAAATGGCACATGTGCCACCGTTCTGGCAAGGATTTGGGTTGCATGGGTTTACGGTGGTCGCTGAAAGGACACAAATGACACAAATGATCATTGTTGGAATTACAGCATCTTCTCCTTAGGGGTGACTTTCATTGCTGGGAGATTTGGGGGCATAAGTTTACTTTCAAAGGGGAGGAGGGGTTTAAGCCCTTTTTTTTGCTTTCTGGGATGTAAGGCTCATATTTGGAGCTTAATGCACAGCATGGTGAGGAGGGTAAATAAAATAAACACAAAGACATTCTCCTTTCTTTTAAAACACACCCCTCGAAAAATTGGGGGGTTTTTTTGGGGGGGGGGTGGGGCAGTGGCCTTCTATCATACTGTCATGTTCGTCTTATTCTCAATAAACCCATTGACAATAGTAATACAACTTCACATATTGATGAAGGGGACAAGCTATTTTCCGGCTTCAGTTTGGGTTGTGCTTTGAATGTTAGAAAAGCAAGATGGTTACCCCCATGACAGAGGTCAATATGGCCCCATTTGCCCCCTCCCCATCCACCAATGACCCCTTTACTGCTGCTGAAGCTGACCTAGCATGATTAGTCATACTACAAATTGTAAAACCTGTGTCAAATTTGTGGTAAGAAAACTTTGTAGTGCCTTCAGTATTTTTTCGGGGGGGGGGGCTCTTTCTTCACCTAATTCTATACTAAGGTGGAAGATCCACCTACAATCCTCCACACACAGTTCAGGAACCTTAAGGCACCATCTTTGTACTGCAAAGTTTTAAAGGGTTCACAGTGTGTATCTGACTAGCAAATTAAACCTGCTATGAGCGGTGTTGTACTCCTCTTACATGTAAGAAAACTTATCTTGCATTTCTTTTCGCCTATTCTTATGGAAAAAGGCACTTTTTAGTGTGTTTCAAATTTTCCACACTTTCCCCAGAAGTGAGTGCTGACGCTTGTGATGTCATTGCAGAGAGACACTGTTCACTTGGGGCTTATCTATTTAATCTGTGAGCCGAAAACTTTGATCAATAGCCAATTAACAATGGATTTTGTTACCCGAAAAAGCTGCTAGGGGCATTTTTTTTTACCTGCAAATTCTTCAACCTTGTAATTGCGCTTTGACCTAACAAAGCACAGCATCAAGTGGTTAAAACTATTAGTGGGCAAACATTGCTCACTCGCCCATTGTCATGAACTGAAGCAACAACGCATCACCAAAATTTTAAAATTCCTAACAGCAAAATATACCAAATTATGGCCAGTTTATAAAACGGCTGTAATTCATATGAGAATAAAAATCAGGAAAGGCACCAAAATACCCTTGAAAGGATACAAAAATTGTGAATATCATTTTAAATGGGACACAAAGGAGCGACACATGAAGTGAATTACAAAAAATTCAATGGCATTATCATTAGTAATTATATCTGGCAATGACACCAAGGGCTACTCAAAAGAACCTTAGGCATTGTAGCTGGCAAGCCTGAAGAAAACTAGAGATAACGAGAAGAAGTTACAGTTTTAGAGGTGGGAAGAAAATCCCGGAGGACTATTCAGGGTAAACCCAAGGAATCAGGTAGAGACTGATAACCCAACAAACATGTGGACCGAGCCAGGAATTGAACCCAGGCTTGAGGTGAAAGGTGAACCAATGCCAGATGGACTCCCCATGGGCCCATCAAGTAATCAAGTAATTGGAAACATTTTCAGGGGCAGCAAATTATATGGTGGCATTGATTGGATTCACTTTCCTCCATCCTTCAAAATTCTCCAAAAACCTCCTGGTGATTTTAAAAGATCTGGAAATGATCCAGTAAAAGGTTGACTGTGTTAGCTAAGGAAGAAATCTCAAGCTCCTGTAACATTATTTTCCACGGATAGTGCAATGTTCGGAATAAAACGAATGTAGCATGTTTACCTGCGACTTGGATTGGAATAGTGCAGGTCTGCAATCTCCCAGCGCCATCAGTAACCTGTACTGAGACAGACACGATGCTTGTTCCACTTGCCGGAACGGTCACCGGGTATGCTGTTGAGTTGGTTATCTGGTTGTTGGCTGCATCCAAGTAGACAACCTGGACAGACCCTGAAGGTGTCCCACTGATTGTCGGCTGAGGAATATTGACAAGGACAGTGGTTCCTGCTGTTCCCGAGGCCGTGATCAGATTTTGGCAAGTGATTGTGAAAACTACCAAAAAAAAAAACAAAAACCTAATTTACACCTCATTTCATCTAAATTAAAAGCAAGGCATTAACATCAGCCATGCTGTAAGAGTGTCCACAATATCTAATAACTGCATTAACAAGAGATGGGTTGTTTCTTTTATTTTTCCATGCAAGGTTCCCCTGCTTTGGGCTTGGCCACGTGTGACCAAAATGCACGTACATCCAAAATATATGGTTTATGGGAGTGCAGCAGGTGCGCAGTACAAACGGTATTTAACAGCAGTAGTGGTGAACAATGACGTCAGTCTGTGCCAGTGAGTGGGGGAGATTGGGTACAATCAAAATGCCGAAGTCATACACAGGCACATCTTCTGTACAGTAAATCTTGTCTATATTTGTTACTTTGCATCATCTTTTGAAGCCTTTTATTCTCCACTTTGGCAGTTATGAAACTTGACATAACCCTGAAAATATGCAGTTTTTGTTTTACAAAAGTATAATCCTGGTACAGGTACACTGCACAGCTGGGGTCAGCCGAGCAGTGGCAAAAACACTGTACCCGAAAATGAGCCACCATGGGTAGGCCTTCTGTAAAAAGCCACCACCACAATCTCCCAGTTTGACAAAGGCATCTGTGGCAATATAGGCCCACTGCATGAAAACATTGGATTTTAGAACTTGTGCTTGTGCTTCTACATACGGACAATGGGTGTCGTGCAAGTGAGCCCAGTAAATCCTGATGTGCAGGCGCATGAGAAGGTACTGCCAACCAAGGAACAGGCACCGCCATTTTGACATGGGTTGGGAGAACACAGGTTGGAACCTGCAAAGAATACAAACATAAGATTTAAACTTATCTCATCGATGTGACTCATGAGTCAAACTAAAGCTCAGACTCAAACCAGGTAGATTAACTTCATAAGTGCTCTTTGTCTGTTCCACTCAAGACAGAAAATAGAATACATATGTACAAGCATGCTTCTATGTGAGGTACTACATGTGATTCTACATAACTATGGAATGGTTATGTTGTATGAATTAAATGACCCTCAATTTACATGTATATCAAGGGGGGAACTGAAACTGGAAGATTCTGTTTATGAACTGAAATATACTTTCTTCAATGTAAAATCCATGAGAAAGTTAATCAGGAAAGTACATATGCTGTCAGTGTAGCTTACTGCATAAAACATTTACAATTAGCAGTTTCTGTAATTTCATTCTTTACTGAGAGAAATTAGTAAAACCAATATTATTAGAAACAGCCCAAGGTTATTAGTAGCATTTTGACCACAAATCTCATGTGGCAGAGGGCAAAATGCAGCCTACCAGTCTAACTCTAGCAAGGGAGGGCTGCTTGAGAGGAGGGACTGATCTATTGATGAACTGTGAAACTCCATTTCAATGTCAAACCCAGTGCTGGTATTGAGACGGAATAAAACTGTCATCACACAACAGAATCCTGTCCTGTTGTTTATTATGAATGTATGAGTTGGATAGAGCCCTGGATAACAGTCCTACAAAAAATGGTCCTTCAAGCTGGATAGATATCTGCTATCTTCACCCCTGAACACTGACGATGTACCACATTCAATGACAAGCATGGAAGGGTTGAATGTTGGGCATAATACAACTGTGACCACCGTTTTGTTTGACCGTCTGGCAGCAAATCGTCCAACCAGAATTAAGCATTATCCTGCTTATTTGGTGCAGGATACCAAGTTCAGTCTTCCAAAGAGCCTCCAGCATGGAAATGGAATTGGAGGCTCCGAACAACCTATGGATGCAACCAGGCACCCTTCAGAGTGTAGTAAGAAAACTCAAGGTTCAACCATTTCTTTCGGATCCCGGATAGCAAGAAGTTTGGCAGAGCAGGAGTCTCTGGAAAAAGCACAAGGAATTGAAGAGAGCTGCATTAACCTCCAATTTGGAGGAGAGTGCCCGGATCTGGTTCCTAGCGGAGCAGAGGCAAATTCAAATTGACTCAAACTTGCAGCAGTCCGTAGTTAAGCTTGAAAAAGACAAATTGCAGCATGAACAGTTAATGGCAGAAGAGACTGAATAAGAACAAAAAGAGAGCAAAGTATTGACGTAGAGGGTTCAGATGAGTATGTTCAAAGTATGACATATGATTGGGTAGACAAGGTATCACAAGTTTGTACCTGCATAGCCTGTACATGTAGGTTCTTTTGTAGAAGCAAGTCCAATTACCATTTCCTTGAAACCGTTGCTGCTACTGCATCCAATGCAGCCGCCGCAGCCATTGCAGCCGTCACAGCCATTGCAAACATTATGGCCTAGCGCTGCAAATTTAATGCAGCTGCGCACTTCTGCCAGGGTGGCAGGTTTCAGCGGCGTAACAGTGTCAACTCCTTTAAAATTTAACCCTACTGTGCATTCCTTTGTTCCTAACTCAGTTCAATCACAGAATGTGCATTTATTCAGTGGATTAACAGCGGTGACGGAGCCCTCACCAGTCTATATGCCAGTGCATGATGGTTGCAGTAATTCTCATCCCACTCCAACCCAATCAGTGAGTCAGCAGTCAAAAGGTTCCAAAGAAGGTAAACAAACAAAGACGTCAGCAACACCAGTGAGATGGAGGAAGAATGAAGTATTGCAGGTAACTCTCATGATGGTGGCAATCCATCAGACAGTGACTCTGATGGGACTTCAAACAGCGGAAAGTCCAAAGAAGGAGAAACACCTACCATTCCTGCCGCCAACCCAAGGCAGAATCTTGCCCCAGTTGGGTCCAGTGTGCTAGGCTATAGTTGCCGGATATGGGACAGTCTCCCAAAACTGGATATTCCGAAGTTTAAAAATGAGCATGATACTAAACAGTATGCAGTGACGTAGGTTTCCAGATCGGTCTCAAGACCACTTTTTGCCGGTCTCAGTCTCAATAGCTATGGTCTTGGTCTTGGTCTCGGTCCTGGTCTCAGTTCTCTTTGGTCTCGATATTATAGCTGGTCTCGAGTCAAGTAGAAACATCTGCTAGCGAGGTCATTCTGTCAATTTTGTTTTTGAATTACATGTATTACACTATAGTTAGGTTGGACTGCACATTGAAAAATTATCACCCCCTACAGCAGTGCCATGAACGCAACCGGACCGTAGGGAATATGCATTCAGCCCACAACCACGCAGATATGTTGTACAGCCTGCACCAGAAAACAAAAGAATGACAAGCAAACTATCGTATCGATTGCAATCACTTGTCAGCAAACTGCACAGAATTTCAGGATTTTCAGGGTACAAAAACATAATTTGGGGGTGAGTTAAGCAAAAATACTTATGTCATCATTGGAAAAATAAAGTGGGTTTTATACAGCTTAAAAGAAAGCAGTTTGGAATTATTTCTTCAGTTAAAAGAGCTTCAAACCAGACTCATCCCAATAACCCGATATAAACTGAATGCTTGGCTTGTCTCAGGCTTATTACCTGTCTCATTGAAAGTTAAATTTCATGTTATATATTACTGCCCAGGACTCAATTCCTGTACTTCACCATTTTCATGTTCACATTCCCTTGTCAATACAACCTACCAATTCAAATCTAACAAGGGAGGGCTGCTTGAAAAGGAGGAACCGACCTATCGGCGCACCTCAAAACCCATTTCAATGTCAAACCTAGTGCTGGTATTGAGATGGCATAAAACTGTAATGAAATGATAGAATCCTGTCCTGTTGTTTATTATGATTGTATGAGTTGGATAGAGCCCAGGGTAACAGTCCAACAAAAAATGGTCCTTCGAGCTGGATAGAGACCGGTTATCTTCAACCCTGAACACCAACTTGTGCCGCACTCACTGACAAGCATGGAAGGGCTAAATGTTGGGCATGACCTTTACCCACTGACATACATATCACCTGTCACATGTGACATAACTGTGACTGTCGTTCTTTCGGAAAGTCTGTATGAGTTGGATAGAGCCCAGGATAACAGTCCGTCGAGTAGTGTTACACCAAATTTTCATTTGAAATTTAACAGGAATGAAGTTCCTTGGTTCCACAACTTATTAATGATTTGAATCAGTCAGAAACAAATGCCATTAATGTCGTCATGTCTGATGCTGTCCTCAGCTGCCTCCCGATAGCCAGTTTATATTTGAGCAATTCAGCTATCTCTACGCCCATTCTGGAAAGTGCATGCCTTGGAAACTAGCGGGTCTGACCTGTAGTTCCACAGTCCACTCCTGAGAATCCACTGGGGCACTGACAGATGAAGGTGTTCCCACTCACTGAACATGTCCCACCATTCAGACAAGGACTTACAGAGCAAGGATCTGCATCGGAAAAACGTCATGAATATGTACTTGCGCTGTCTCTATTAAATACAGAGTTGAAACAAAGACATTCTTCTATAGGTCCAGTTGAATCACAAAACCAAGTTTCCTCAGGTCAAATCACAAGTTCCATGTCAATTTTGAGTAAACTTGAAGTCATAACTGACATAGTGCTTGTACACTCTCACTTGTGGCATTCTGCAAAATAGGTCTGACTTGTCTGCCTCATCTTTTCAATAAAAACTCACTGCAGTTTCACAACATCAGTGTAGTGCAAACTGGCAGGTTTTCTCTTCGAAGAAGTATTTAGCCGATGCATTTTTCCTCACGCTTTTAATAACAAAATTTAATGTCGAACATTCAAAGTTACTTAAGTCAAATCTATTTAAGTTAGGAAGACTGTTGGACTTGTTCGAATTTTGTTGTGGTAAATTTCCATATTTAGCAATATTGTTGTGTGAGTACACAGAAATGAGCCACCTAGCAACGGTTTCCCAGGAATGTTTTCAGAGAGCAAATTTGGGGTTCAAACTTAGAACATGAAAATGTGCAATGAAGTGTCTTCCTGATTCACAACATTTTCAATACACTTTGCTCCAACTTGATTTTAAAGCAGTTTTCGTACATTCCAGGAGAGTCTAACAATGTATTAAACGGGAGTCCTTTGAAGTATAAGTCAGTAATTCGAGAATTACTGCTATTCAACATTTGTCCTGTGCAGCCCAGAGATAAAACAAGGCTAATTTTTATGACTTGCGTTGAGTTGAGTCATTGTAATGCAGTGACTCCAGTTGAGTCAAGACATCGTAACATAGTGACTCAAATAAAGTTGAGTAGGTTTCTACATGTGGTCACACCACATCTTTCTCTTGATAACAATAACAAATGACATGAACATTAACTCGTACTCTGAATAATTGCAAATACTTTTTACAAAGGAGTTTGCTTATAGTTTGGGGACTCAAGTATTATTAACTTTCACTTAAGTCAAGTCTTCTGATGAAGGACTCAAGTTCATGTCATTTATGTACCCATCCAAACTCAAGTTCAATTACCAATATTTGTGACTCAAGTCACTACAACTCTGGTGCGGCCTCTGTCGAAAAAAGTTCAAACATGGAAAAGGTAACTGTACTGATTTATGTAGTACTTGCCATTGTGCTAAAGATTTCCAAGCACTTTATAATTACTACCCCATTTATCAGTCAAGACCGGTTGGCAAGCCCATATCAGCACACATAGTTATCTCTGCCCTCACCGGTTCCCATCTGCATTGAGTGGAGAGGGGCTGGTTGGAGTAAAGTGATTCATCCGAGGTCATAATATGTTGCCTGCTACTGGATTCAAATCTCAAATCTTTGACTGGGAATTGCATACTCTACCAATAGGCCTCCTTCTACCTCAAGGGAAGACATGCCCCCAAGACCACGGTGGCTATGGATGGAATATTGCTATGTCTTCTTCATAAATACTTGAGGAGTTTACCTGTTTAAAATTAGTAGTGAGTCCATCACAAATGTGGTTTAAAAAAGATGATAGAGTGCCACATGGTTTTAAACACAGTGCTTTAACCTGGGGATAGTAATGGACCCCACGTAGCTGCTTTTAAATGTACTAGATACTTGTACAATGTACAAACCTTCAGCTCACACTTTTTAAAAATCATTTTCCATCCTTAGAAATTCAGACACGTTCCTTTTGTGGACAGCAACTTTTAGTTGTGCACATTCAGACAAGAGAAGGTGACAGTGCGCATTCTCTCTCATGTGCATTTGTCAACCAGTGCACACAATGGTATAGGCTCTTCCTAAGCTCTTATGAGTAACTTACCAGCCCAGAAGCTATGGGCTCACACAATGCTGGGACAAAAAGCAAAGTGATTCAACTTTGTGCTCCGTTTTTCTTTTTTTTCCTTATAAACTGATACATATTCTGCCCTCTGCGACAGGAAATGACCATGCAGAAGGTATAAGGTGCGCAAGTATATCATTGCATCCACAGTGTCTGCTGTGAACAGCATTCCAAAGTTTCATTGGTGTCGAGCCCCCCCTCCAAGTAAGGGGGATAAGCCAGTACACTTTTGAAGGTTTTGCAAAATTCAAAATTTCAAAAATATTTTCTCTATTGACTACCAGCCCCCCTTACACTACAGAAATAATGCACTGCTGCTAGATCACTGAAGAATAACATAAGGAACCAGAGACATACCAAGTTGACAGTTGATGCCAGAGAAGCCTTNGAGGACAGGTACAGGTGTATCCCTGACCAATCACATTGCAGGTACCACCATTCACGCAGGGATTGCTGCCACATGGTGAAGTACCACCAGCTGAAACAAAAACATAGGTTCATGAGTAAAACAAGACGGACAATCTGTTCTTACTGACTGATTGATATACTTCAAGTTTCAGACTATCAATCTAGTGGTCAATTTCAAGCTTTTCAAAAGTAACATGGCTCAGACTAAAATTGTTTCTCCTGACCTAACTCAAGCTTCTCAGACTCAAGTAATATGTAATTAAAATTGAAACTCAAAAAAAGTTATACAAGGTATGGATTTAGGGGAGGTTCGGGGGTCATTCCCCTCCATCCTAAAAAAAATAATAATAAAACAAGTTTTTAAAAGGGGGAAATAATACAAAATAAATACAGTAAATGCACAGATATCATTGTAAACAATGTATGTCATGCAATGTTTCATCATCACTCTGCCTGTATCTGCAAAAAATGAGATATCAAATAAGATCTCGAGCTTGACCCACCCAAGTGACTAGGACTAAGACCAAAACCCAATGACTTGCAAGTAGAACTGTGAAGACTTGAAGTAGCATGTGAGTTGGATTCAGCAAGGACACAATCAACATTCTCATGTCTAAGACTCAATCCACACAAACTGTGGTTCCTCACACCCAGACTCAAACCAAGTAACCTGGATTTTGATGTTGATTCAAATTGAACTGACTTATGACTGAGTCTGAATTCTTGCCAGGTCACAAGTTCAAACTGAATGTCACATGACCGAGACTGTAGTATTCATTGCCATTCATTTTGTATCAAAGGCACTCCATTATTGCCAGGTACTTTGTGTAATCTTATAGCGCTCCACAGACAAGGTCATGAAAAGGTTAAATAAAGCATGCTTTCTGAAACACCATGTTCATGTACAGTAGTGCCATTGCAAACAGTCAGACTAAACTTTCAAGATACACTCTCGAAATATTACAGAGACTCAAACAAACAACTCCAAACCAACTGCAAACTACGAAACAACTTCGAATACAGCTCCAATACAACTTTAAGTAATTCTATCACACTCTGAGGTTTGCATAGGGTGTTTCGAAAAAGTAATCTTACTTTCAAGAGTCCTTTCGCTTAAATATATGTTACAAGCAAACTCTTTTCACCAACCTAAAAGGAAAAATCTATGTGCCTTTCCATGATATGTCAACAAATCCAGGTAACTCATTACTGAGTGCCATTGCTTGAAACTGTGGAGCGAAATGGGGTTGGTAATTAATTGTGCAGTCACGCACACACAACTGTACATACATTGTGTGCTTTAGGTGGATAGACTTAATAAACTGTGGCCAGTGAAAAACCTACATCTCTGAAAATGCCATTATTGATTGGACAAATTCTGTGGTATCACTGTGTGGACGTGTTTAGAAGACTGAGTCAACTTTGGTCAGTGAACAATTTATATCTCCAAAAGTACCATTGTTTGAGAGGAAAGATGCTTTACCTGTGACTACAATGTCAGAATTGCACTGGAGTGTAGTGGATCCATCGAAGGCAAATATTGATACAGTTACGGTGCTTTGCCCACTGGCTGGAACAGTCACGGGGTATGATCTTGGGTTGCTTATTTGAAGACCGCCAACAAAGTAGAAGAAGTTTACATTTCCTGTATTGCCAGGCACTGTGGGCTCGGGTATGTTAACAGTGATGGTTGTCCCAGGTGTTCCAGAGACAGCAACAGGCGGACAAGAAAGGCCTACCAACGAGAACATTTTTAAAAGTTTCATTATATTTGAAGATTATTTTTATACTGAAAAGCACCATCTTTACGTTTTCCATGAAGTTTGATAGCCTTCAGTTAAATGTGTGACACCTCAAAGTAGTTGAAAAACATTTCAGGCTGATCATGTCTAAAGTATTATTTGAACTATGGTAATGCCCCTTTTTTAGATTTTTACAGATAGAGGCAGGTTCCTGTCCAAAAATGACATTTGAATGGTACTTATACTTTTACATTTCATTATTTCGAAGACTTATCGATCTAAATAGTGATGGCGACGATGAATAACAGAAAAATGTAAAAAATCAGATAAAACATGACAACAGTTCCAACCACAGATAGTTCCCATGTAAAAGATGTGGAGTTCAGATCTTACCACAGGGTTTGGGTGTCTTTATCATAAATGCCAACCTGTAACATTGTTAAAGGCTTTTCCTTTGAAGCAACCATGCC